CTTTTCAAAATTTGGATAAGCAAGTACAGGTGTTGTGCACAGGGCTTCCTTCAGTGCATTGAAAGCCTTGTCACACTCTGGAGTCCAGTGAATTTTGGCCTTAGAAGAACCTACACCATCTGGATTTGCACTACTTTGTAGAAGCGAGTTAAGAGGCAGGGATAATTTGGCATAATCTTTGACATACCTGCGATAGAAATTGCATAGGCCGAGAAATGAACGAACATCTTTTTGTGATCTAGGTACTGGAAAGTTTTTTACTGCCTCTAACTTACAGTTGTCTACTTGCACACCATTCTTGGAGAGAACATGACCTGAATAGAGTACCTTTTCAGTAGCGAAATTGCATTTTGATGGTTTTAGAGTAAGACTGGCCTCTCCTAGAAGCTGGAACAATTGCTGTAGATGTGCAAGGTGGTCATCAAAAGTTTTGCTGAACAAGATAATATCATCAATGTAAACTAGGGCTGTTTTCCAGAGTATTTTGCCAAGGAATTGTGTCATTAGTTGCTGAAAACACATTGGCGAGTTCAATAAACCCTGTGGTAACCGCTTGAACTGGTACAACCCTTGGTGAGAGATGAAAGCAGTCTTGTGCTTAGAATCTTCATGTAAAGGAATTTGAAAAAAAACATTTACTAAATCTAAGGTAGTAAAGATGTTTGCCTTGGCATCCGTGATACTGTCTATTACATCTTCAAGAACTGGTAGAGGCCATGACATCGGGACCGTGACAGAATTTAGTTTGCGATAAACACAAACAAACCTGAAAGGGCCATCACGTTTCTTAATGAGAATAATTGGTGCAGCGTACTGAGACTTGGATTCTTCAATCAAATCATTGTCTAAGAACTCTTGAATTAACTGTTTGGTTGCCTTTCTATTAATAGGTGACTGACGATATGGCCGACATTTGACTGGTGGTGCATCACCTGTTTCAATGTGATGATAATGAAGAGTCGTCTTACCTAGTTCAGTCATATCTTTGGCAAACACATCGCAGTGTTGACCGAGGAACTGCAACAATCTTTGTTTTTGGTCTGGTGTGAGATCTGCTTGGGATAGGTCAATACCAAGGTCTAGGGCAGTCCTGACATAATCAGTAGTGTCATCTGTGTCATCTGTGGTGACTGTGTTTACTGTTGCATTTTCCATGGGATCAATATCATAAACACAATCAGAGTCAATGTAACTATACTTACCAACAACTGTGTTTTTGGCGATGACTTTTTCCATGTGTGAGGGATTAATAAGTCTAAAGATACCATGGGTGTTTTTTGCTATGCATAGGGTTCTGCCTCCTGCTACTTCATTGTATTGGGTTAAAGACACTATCGGTTTGATAAGGATCAAGGAGCCATATCTGACATGGGGAAGGATGATTGGGACCTGCATCTCACTGTTGGGGGGTACAATAACTTTGTCAGTTGTACGTTCTAAACCAGAGACATTTTGACTTGAACTGTTGATAAAATTCACATACATCCTATCTGAACTGCTGTTGAGAATTAGGGCGCTACAAGAGAAGTCTATCACAGCATCATTTTCCTGAAGGAAGTCTGTACCTAGGATGACAGAGGGATGTAACCTAGAGAGTACATAGAATTTTTGTGAGAAATCCTTACGTTCAATGCAAAACGGTAACACAAGACACCCTAGAACTGAGTGGATCTCACCCCCTACTCCTGTCACATTAGAGATGTTTGAACTCTCATATTTATGGTTAGGGTAGACTAGTTTAACAAACTTTTGTGAAACACATGAGATTGATGCACCTGTATCGACCAAACAATTTGTATGATATGTAATCATGTTGGCCTTGACAAGGTTTTTTGTCAAAGGTGCAATTAAAGAGACACTAGGGATTTCACTCTGTTTGGAGTTACTATTCAAAGCAAACCTTACCTCCTGTTAAGCCATATTCAAGATGTAGCGATATATTTTGAAATAACCAAAAGTATAGAACAAAGTTATCAACAATGTAAGCGATACTTACAATCTTTGATGAACTTGAATCTCCTGGAGGAAGCTGTGTCTTTCCATTGTTCAGTCTTGGTGTTGATGCTGGTTCACCATAACATCAGTAAACTGATGTGTTCATATAGCAAATCTATGATGCACTAGGTCTCTTGGTCGAAATCGTAAGGATTCTCCGCCAACTATACGCCACTCGTTTCAACCTAGCGACTTCCATTTCAGACTACCTTGAAAAATATGTTGACACAGTTCTCGATCAACAGTCCGGAATGTCTAATATATGGTTGAGATTGTATGGCACTGCTTCCCACATACGGTGCAACGCCTCCTCTATTCAAATGTGTGTCCCACGGAAGCGAGAGATAGGCGATAATTTTGACGGATCAGTTGTACGGGCTGTAACTGTCGTTCGGAATACCCCCGTGTTAACGTTTTCGAAGTTGCATGATTAGAAATCACATTCCAACTGTCACTTTCATGATCTGGTAAGCTTAATTTACTGATAACCATTTACTAAAATGTTGGCCCACATTGTTTCCATCATATACTCACACGTAAAAGAAACGCCAGTCGAGTATGCAGTATATATGTTATTTATTTTTCAACAGTAAAGACAAGGCATAGGGCAAGATTGACAAAAATTTGACTGCAGACAGTTTAATGGATTAAAAGGCAGATGACATAATTGTTGTTTTTTTCAAATGTTAAGGGCTTACACAGTTTCGGGTCAATACCCAAAATGTCAGTCAATACCTGGTGTGACCACCATAAGCATTGATCGCTGCCACACATCTCCTGTACATTGAGTGGATCAGACGATTTGTGAAGGCCCTAGGGATCCTCCTGCATACATCCAGAGCAGCTGTGCATAGTTCATCGGCAGTTGTAGGGACTGGGCGCACATTGTGCAGACGCCTTTGAACCTCATCCCACAAGTGTTCGATGGGGTTCAGATCAGGGCTGAGGGCTGGCAACGCTAGAACACAGATGTTGTGTTGTTGCAGAAAGGCCATGGTACCTCTGGCAACGTGTCATCAGAGAAGATGACACGCCTCTACTCACGATGACGCCAATTGTGATGACCCTGTACCCACTGAAGTCGTGCTTGTCGATGCTGTGGTTGGAGAACAGGACGACATGCTGGTCGGCGACATTTGAGGTTGTTGGAACGGAGACGTCAGATCACAGTGTCCCGGCTAATGTGTCGATTATGTGTTCCTATGGTCTCTCGAGCAGTTTCACTTGCAGTTAGGAACGGGTGTTGACGGGTAATCTGCCGATCTTGTCGAGGTGTGGTGACCCTATAGACGACCGCTCCAATGAAGGTCATCTGTGGTCTGTGTTGCATTGTATCGATGCAGGAGACAGTAAATTGTGGTTATGTTAACGTTGAAATGACAGGCAACATCTTGGACAGACTCTCCATCTTCAAAACGTCCGATAGCCTGGTTTCTCTGAATTTGAGTTAGGCATGGCATTGTTGACCAAGGAGTGGTAGGTCCAAGAATCGGCCACAGTTTTATACCCACTACAGTTCGTGACAGTTCGTGCATTTTCGATTTCGCGAGAAATGGGTGCTTGATACCCACATATTCATTGTAATGGTGTGTTTTGGCGATTCGTTGAATTAGTTCTGATAATCAATTTCTAAGATGTGGGCCCACTTCTTACATCATATATATAGTGATGGAAACAGGTGTGCCCACATTTGTAAATCGCTAGGCTTCATTGGTTTGACAAAGTCATTTAGTGGGCTCACAAAAAATATTTTGTATGGATATGTAGCAATATATTTTATTCTCATTTTGTTATATTGATTGGAAATGCCTTTATAAATTATTGAGTGTGACGTTACCTCCACGATAGGTACACAAAGTCTAAACCTGTACATAATGTCTACATTTAAATCAAACTCGGACATGATAGAAGCCTATGACCTCAAACTTTTCCATGAACTCGTTCAATAAAAGGAATAACTCATAAATATTAATGACCCCACCTAGTTTTGCGATGTTCGTAGAAGTGAGTTCTGCTGTTCTTTTCTACGAATTTGTACTTTCTAATCTAATTATAAGTCATAGGGGTTTATATGCGAAGTACTAAGTCTCTACAACAAGTGCGCTTTTGTTCGAGGGAAGTCCCACCTTGAACTTTCGATAAGTCAAAGCTATATTAGCTCCCTTCTAGCTCGCTTCTCGAACCCCGAGGTAATGTAAGTCCCCATGATCTCAAACAAGGTGGCCTAGCTTTGGTTACTGGTGGCCTGTAGCCCGTGTTTTAAAACTGTTTACATGATGTTGTTAAGCTCAAATATGTTTCATGAATTGTTTTTAAATATAACTTTGCATAAATGACACAATTGTTAATATATTAACTTGGTCTCATCTCTATATGGCTGTAATAATGCCGATGCAACGTTAAATTTTAATTCACTCGCTCACTCACCCTTCTCGAACCACTGATGATGCGGTTTCGCTGGAAATGAGAAAGGAAATCTCAAACTGCGTCGCACTCTCGTTTCCATCTATTACATACATGTCAAAAGTAAAATGCGAGGCAAAAAAATTATACACTTGAAAATTGGATTGCACAAAAGGCAACACACGTTATCGAGTTGTTACTAGGCTAAAAACAGTCGCCAATAACAATGCAAACTTAAGATCCAAATCATAACTCTGATACCATACCAAATACATCTACATCAAATAACCACTTCTTGTTTGTTTCATTATTATTATCCCCAAACATGGGTGTATATTTCCCTTTGAACGGTAGTGTATCACCTGATATGAACCGTCAATGTGACACTGCATTTTAGCCCCGCGTTGATCGTATTTCTCTCTTAGTAAACATGTTTTGTTTAATCGTATTAATTAATCTCTGCTCACACACTAGCATGTCTTCACATACACTATACACTAAGTACATCTACTCGGCAAGCTAAGCATAGTAACTGGTCGTGCCATTTCAGTCAACAACTCATTTTGCAAGCAGTCCTGTCTATATAAAAGGGCAAAGCTTCACTACGACATAGTTAAAACGCGGTTTGAGGTCAAATGAGCGACAGATGCTGTAGAAACTAACAATATTGCAGTTCCTTAAGAACCCACAGAACACATTGGAGAAAACATTGGAGGAACCCATCTTGTTCTCTTCAATCTTCATCCAAACTTTCGAACGTCATCATGACCTCTGTCTACATCATCTCACTCTCATCATCACGCGACTGCTCCTACACTGAGCAAACCTCTCACACCTCAGAAGCCTCCCAGAGCGGTCAACCTCCTGCTGTAAAACATCAGCTCACAGCCAGTTCACAAGAAGAGTTTGATGTTTCTCTGGGTAACGGTTCATTTCTTGACAAAGATACCCACAGTGACAGAGTGGCCCAGGTCGACATATATGAGGCAAATCGGAACAAGTCACCATTTCAAGGTCATGACAAAACTTGTAGCCATAGACTCGAGGATGTTGACGTTTCCTTCTGTGACAACACGTTTGCCGATATTGAGGAGACAATCAGCAGCATGTCCCCCAGGAACCACCCCATTGCTCGTTTCCCCTCCATATCAATTCAGGACGTGGGGCTAGTATTTGTCGGATTTGTGCTCCACCTTTTTCCCCAGGGGCTTGGGAACAGCTACGGCGTGGTTTACACTCACCTGAAGGAAATGGACGGGTACTCAGACTATCAGATGTCCTGGATTGGCTCGCTTATGGCAGGGATGTTGGGCGTCGGAGGTATGATCGTCAGACATGTTGCAGGCTTTCAATTTATGCTTTTATGTTGTGTTTTCTATGTGCTTGAACCAGACACACACTCTCAGATCAACTCTATTTTGCATTATCTGCCACGTTTCTTATGCAAGTCACACCCTTATATCATATGTACAAATAAGACTATTCATCGTATTGCCAAAAGTCGTTACCATAATGCTAACCTTTGTTTATCATTAGCTCATTTATCAGCACTCGTTTCAATAATGCCAGATATTAAATATAGCACACAAATAATGACTGCCTTCTTGTGTTGGGTTTCAAGTGATAGAATGTTCAGTGATAAGAGTTGAACGTAACCCATGTGAAGTCTTTGTGGAGGGTTCTAAGAGTGTGTTCTGGGATTCCATCAGCGTCTGAAACAGGCGTGGAGTTTCTGAACAAAGTTTGATTATCATTTTGTTTTGCTAGAGGATGCTTCTACTTGAAATGGTGGACCACAACAACACACAACGTTTCATCGTCGTTGTAGCTATGGTGACAGTATTGATGAACTAATAACGTGATCATATAATTAGATACTTCGAATGAAAATAGACAAATTTAAATCTCGTTTACTTCTCTCGTTAATAGCTATAAAAAGTTCTTAACAAATTCAACTTCCAATTGATGTAATCATTATCAGCCGTAAGCTTTAAACTACATCTTTTAGATAATGAAACTTGCACAATATAGAACCTTAGAATTGCAAGTTAAATCTTCAATGCGTTCACAATTCACAATCCTTTATGAATCACCTTTATTGTCAGTCTTCTAGAGGTATTGTCAATACAGATTTAGACAAAATATAGATTTTTCGAAAATATATTACCTTGCTTGAAGACTTGCTAAGTTCAAAAATTGTACTAATGGGGTTTAACAGGTTGGCTTGAATACTCGTAAACAGATTAATACGAGACTTCTTACGTAATATGAACATTTGTTTTGTTGATTGTGTATATATTTTTTCGTTGTAAGGATGAGCAATGTGTACGTATTGAAATAGCAGAAAGGAAACCTGTAGGAAAACACAATGTGTTTTATTTATTTGTCACTGTGTGTCTTTTAAGAGAGATTTTTTTTATTTTTAGCTATTCTAGGTTCATACCTTATAGAGGGTGTGGGATGGCGTCTGACAAGCGTCGTTGGAGGCCTTTTTTTAACGCTAGGGATGGTCCTGAGTGCAATGGTTACGAACTTGTATCTCCTCTACCTGTGTCTCGGTGTGATGCCAGGTAAGCTTCATGGTTCTCTGTGTTCCGTCATATTAACCTCTGATGCTAGGTAGGCTTCATGGTATTCTGTGTTCCATCATATTAACCTCTGATGCCAGGTAGGCTTCATGGGACACTGTGTTCCGTCATATTAACCTCTGATGCCAGGTAGGCTTCATGGTACTCTGTGTTCCGCCATATTATAAACCTATTCTTTGGGATCGCTATTAAGTAAGAGACTTCTTTCTATAGGCATTAAAACCTATTGTGAGGTTTTACTTTCCAGTCGGGTTAAATCTCATAAACAGGGACGTTGTAATGTCCCTGGGATTTTATAGGATATTCAAGTCATATTTGCTATAATATCCCAGGGATTTTATATAATGTCCTGGGTATTTTATTAATGTAACTTCCGTTCAGATTGTAGCATGTAATGAAATGTAAAATCAAACGACAAATGTTTTCCTTATATTCCCGAGGATCAAACTCGCAACCTTCATATCTGTAGCCCAGTGAGTGTACCACGAGGCTACAGAGGTGTTGATATGCCCAACTGGTTTTTAGAATGTCCTTTTCAAAGATCCGTACGCCAGCAACAGATATTTTACGCGCGTTTCCTAAGGTTCATGGAAAGTATGTTCGAAACATAAAAATGTTGATAAATGTTGTTTTAAGTTTCTTTTTTTCGGATTATTTTGGTAGACAGAGCATGCCCCCTTGGTTTTTCCCTCTCCCCAGGGCATGCTCTGTCTACCAAAACCTCGTAAGCGTGTTGTCTCCAATACTTAACCTCTGATGCCAGGTAGGCTTCATGGTACTCTGTGTTCCATCATATTAACCTCTGATGCCAGGTAGGCTTCATGGGACTCTTTGTTCCGTCATATTAACCTCTGATGCTAGGTAAGCTTCATGGGACTCTGTGTTCCGTCATATTAACCTCTGATGCCAGGTAGGCTTCATGGTACTCTGTGTCCTGTCATATTAAACTGCGATGCCAGATAGGCCTTATGGTTCTGGGTGTCCCGTCATATTAACCTGCAATATATAGCAAGCTCCTGCGTCCAAATAGATCCATTTTAGATGTCCCTTGTGTTAATGACTATCTTTGTGCAGTCAGCAATTTTGCATGTATTTACTAATGAAACAAATCTATCTCATGGATTCGATTTCAAAATTGTTCGTGTTTTATTTTGTCAATAGGACGGCCACTGTCCATGTACATCTTTTCCTTATGCAGCAAACTTATGTAGTCTTTTGTGTATTAGGAGTCACTCGTTAATGGGTTAGATGATGCTGTTGATAAATGGCACAGTTATATTTCCTGTCTTGATTATTCGCCATATGTTCCCAGGTATTGGTGCAGCTCTGTGCCAGCTCGCAGCTATTGTCTGCATCAGTCATCACTTTGGAAAAGGGTTGCCACTCGCGCTGTGTTTCATGGCGACTGGTGGTGCGGTGGGAATGCTTGCTTTTCCAATTCTTTGGAGCCTCGTTCTTGAAAACTTTGGGTGGCGTCGCGCTCTGCTGATTATAGGCGCCATTGCTCTCAACAGCGTCTGGTGCTCCCTCCTCCTGCAGCCGGATCCCTCCCTCCCTAGTACGTGTGTTCACGTCAGTCACTGCCGTCAGTCTTATGATACATGTACTTAAATTTAAATGTGCAGTATTCACATAACAATTACAATTTCAGTAGTGCATACCCTTGCCTGTTATGAATCATGTTGTAAAGAGAGATTTGATATTTTTGTTTTAGAAAAGAAAGCGATATCGGCAAGCCAAAGGAGTCGTTGCCTCCCTGACCGTGTCATCTTGAAGCAGCGTCCACTCTTCGTCTTGTTTCTCCTGTCAGCCGTGTTCAGTGGCGTTAGTCTCTTCATTTATGGATCTTACATTCCGGAACACGCCATAACAGCTGTACCAGATGTCACGTCCACTGAGATCGCAATATTGGTGTCAGCCATTGGTGGGGGCAGTTTCTTTGGGCGAATCCTTTTTGGCAGCCTTTCCATGACATCGCCTAGAGCTCCACTGATTCTCTTTACTACGGCTTTGGGCTTGTGTGGAGTTTCTGACATACTTGTGCCCATCTGCAGATCCTACATTAGCCTGATGTTAAACAGCACACTGCATGGTCTTTTCCTAGGTAAACCGATGATTATTAGGTCATATTTTAAATCAAGATTGTCTTTCATGTAAGGGGATTTCAACTCGTTTAGGTCGAAAACAATAAAGGAAACTCATTGTTGTACTAGCTCTTTCCCGCGTTGTTTGAAACATTTTTATAGGACTGACAAATCAGTTTAATATCTTATGAGATGCCAATGAAATCTCTTATTTTATGAAAGTTAACAGCAGCCTTGTTGTTGATTATTTTTACCTGCAACAATACAATAATTGAGGCAAATCTTGGTGTCCCCTGATCTGCTACAATATATAATGCTAAAAGTTGTATAAACTCAACTCACACATCACGAAGATAAGCATGAATAGCAATCAAAATTTGTTACCACAGGTGGATGGACAACTATTATCTCCCTTGTGACCGTGAGCTTATATGGCGCAGAGAAGCTGTCTTTAACTCTCGGGCTGATCTTCCTATGTCAAGGCCTCGGGTGTGTGGCAGGACCCCCGCTTGCGAGTGAGTCAGTGTTTCACTTAATCACCCTTAAGTCATGTCATCATAGTGAATCTTCATGCAATTAATTATTATGAATCGAGGCAGAAAATATATTCCATGTGTTCATTGCACAATGTTGTTGCATAAGTTATAACATTTTGACCGCCCCCATGACATTGCTCTGTGTTATTTTTCACCTTTCCTTCCAGACATGCTTGTGCAGATGACGATGAGCACGGAGGTGTTATTCTACTTTGCTGGCTGTGGATTCCTTCTTAGTGTACTTTTTATGTTGCCTTTGTTCACCGTCAAGGCTTACACCAGTAATCACATGACCAAAGATATCAAAGAAGGGGAGACAACTGGAGAAACAAACCTTGCTTTTGTGGAAGGTGGTTAACCTTGGGTCAAACTCTGGCCTGAGTGAATGGATCTCATTACCAATGTACAGACAAATACTAATATATAGTGATATACATCTTTGAATACTTTACATGTTAATAAAGGTTATCCCCTCTATGTTACATTTGTTATTTCAGCTGTCATATTCTGTCAATGTCACATTATATACATCAACAACGTACTACTAACAAGCACTACAGTGATATATGTATTTTATGGATGTTAATGTATCTGTTTATGTGGACGATCACTTACAATGTTTGCTGTAAAATAAACTGAATGACACCAGTGTGTTAGTTGTTCGATCCATGTTCTCTCCAATACTGAGTTTCCTCAACAATTCCTACATAATGTATGTTTTATTAAAGTGTAGGACTCAAGTTAAACGAGAAAAAAGTTGTTCTCCTAATCCAGAATGTAATAAGGCACTGCTACTTGTAATGTTATAGGGTGCCGTGAAATTATTTCTAAGAACGCGATGCGAACAATTTTCGAAGTTGTCAGATTGCGGATAAAGAATTCAGTGGATCTTAATTACTACTTTATTCGAAAAAAAAAATATGATGCTACTGTGAAACCTATAAGTGAACCACAGATACACATTGCAACAGCCACATACAATATAGCTAAACATATTTCTATTTAACAACAGTTTGGGCCTTAAACAAATATAAAACATGAAATTATGTGTCACCTTCCCGCCTTGGTGGTCCTCCTATGGTTTTGACGTTCAGTTCGATTGAAGAGGGCCTCTCAAATTTTGCTTACTATCTGCTATTTGGCAACGGCCTTGTAGTCCCATAAGAACATGCATACATGTATATTGTAACAGAACAACTTAATAGGTGCAGCCATACAACGGATTTTTCATTGTATCTAGGGCATGACATCACATACAAATGAAACATATCTCCATGTAAGTGAATACATCCTCTGCGCATGCCCTATGACCTGCAGACGTTACATGACCTCTGGCAGTGACGTAACATGTAGACTGGATTCGTAATGCAGTGATTGGCTCTACCCCAAACCGAACATAAATACTGCTCGTCTCGACAACCTGTAATTGCAATGAATAACAACATTAGGGAAGCATCAATATATCACAAACAAAATGTCATGTCACCTTTACTTAAAGGTGTGTTGTTTTGCCGCATGGACGGTAGCAGAAGTCAAATGTGTACGATCAGGGGTACATTTGGGATGATATTTTATTTTTGCCTTTTTCCATGGGCTGCTTTTGTCACATTCATAAACAGCTATAGTTCATCCACAACTAAGTCATTTAACGTTTGGCTATACTTTTATGTTCAGTTCGGTTTACAGTAACGACCGACCGAAGCCCAGGAAGTGCAAAAGAATAAATTTAAAGCAAAATGCAATTGTGCCCAGATAACGACAGTACAAACAGGTGGTAACATAGTTATAGTTTGATAGCTTTCATAACAGTGTCTACTGGTTTTGCTAATTTCTTAAATCATGCATTTCCGTGGGCCAGAAAGAGGCCTTATCATTCTTTGAAAGTTTAAGAAAGAAGAATGGCAAGTTTTCCTTGATAAAAAAATAATAATACCAATTTCTCTAATATATTATGAATTATATGTTTCAAAACCGTTCGGCCTAAATAGATTAAAACATCCAACTTCTGTATTTATGATCGAGTGGTGTACCCGACGACACAGTTCGTAAGATCCCATACACTGCGCCAATGACACATGTGAAAGAATTATCATGACTAGTTCACAAAGACAAAGTTCCAAAGAGTTAGGTTTGGTGAAACAGGGTTGTGTTATATCCACCTGTTCGGACTCTCAGAACTGAGTGACGTCACAAGGAGGTGACGTCATGACTTGAATGTCAGCTGACGTGAATGTTTTTTTACAAGACGGAAACAATGATGTAGCTGAGTCTACATATCACTGACCATTGGTCAATACAGTCCCCATGTTCTTTACACCACATGCAATATGACACGACGTGGCTAAGTGTTCAGCGTTGATCTGCTAACCACATTTAAACTGTTACCTTAGCAGATTAAGATAGACAAAACATCCAAAAGCAATGTCCTCACCGTTGCAGTTGTTGCACGATTTCTTGCAGTAGATGAGGTTGTATCCGGGGTTGCTCTCACAGAAGCCGTACTTCGCCCAGTTGGCGCATCCCCCATCTCGGTCGTTGCACTGGGCTGTTGAACATACAGCAGTTAAATGATCAGACTCCGCACACGTCCCATCTATCTGAGCTGAGCATTGCGAGAAACAGTGAGAGAAGCCTCGAGCTATACGGCGGATACACATCAATGGTGGATGGTGTATTTACACGTCTGTGGATGGGGGGGGGGGGGGATATCCTGGGAATAGCGAGGTGTAAGATGAAACATATATGCAATCAGGGAAGAATGTTGTTTGCAATAATTACAGCTGCTCACGTGATTTTCTCATTTGGCCAACATTGACCATACGATATATCGTAGACTTGTCATATAATACATTCATTTACACCTGCATTGATCATAGAATTAGTTATAGACAATAATCTGTGTTATGTAAATGTGGGCCCTTGGTGAAACGTTTGTGTGTTTGTTGTTTAACGCCACACACAGCAATATTCCAGCTGACGGCGGTCTGTAAACAATCGAGTCTGGGACAGACAATCCACTAATTGACATCACAAGCATCAATCTGTGATGCATACTATAGCATAAGACATGTGTCCTCATGTGGTACCCTGTCATGCATACTATAGTATAACACATAGGTGCACTTGTGGTATCCTGAGATGTATACTATAGTATAACACATGAGTGCTCTTGTGGTATCCTGTTATGCATACTATAGTATAACACATGGGTGCTCTTGTGGTATCCTGTGATGCGTACTATACTATAACACATGGGTGCTCTTGTGGTATCCTGTGATGCATACTATAGTATAACACATAGGTTCTCTTGTGGTATCCTGTGATGCATACTATACTATAACACGTGGGTGCTCTTGTGGTATCCTGAGATGCATACTATAGTATAACACATGGGTGCTCTTGTGGTATCCTGTGATGCATACTATAGTGTAACACATGGGTTCTCTTGTGGTATCCTGTGATGCATACTATAGTATAACAAATGGGTTCTCTTGTAGCATCCTGTGATGCAAACTATTGTGTAACACATGGGTTCTCTTGTGGTATCCTGTGATGATTACTATAGTATAACACATGGGGTCTCTGTGGTATCCTGTGATGATTACTATAGTATAACACATGGGGTCTCTGTGGTATCCTGTGATGTATACTATAGTATAACACATGGGGTCTCTGTGGTATCCTGTGATGTATACTATAGTATAAAACATGGGGTCTCTGTGGTATCCTGTGATGATTACTATAGTATAACACATGGGGTCTCTGTGGTATCCTGTGTTGTATACTATAGTATAACACACGGATGCTCTGTGGATCCAACTACCACGCCCGGTTAGTCGAAGCATCACAAATACATATAAAACATCGTCGTGTATTAAAAAAGTATTTATTTGCGAACTGTTAAAATAATTCAATATACATGACATAATTAATTACATAAAGTGTAAAACATACGTCATCGCCCGCGATGAACTTCATGTTAAATAAAAATAGGCAAAAGATAAATATTCAATAACACATCAAGGATAGTTCCCCTAAAGATCGGAAAAGACTGGGTCCAACCCTTTTCAGGTGAGATGAAATGGGCTTAAGGTCGCACTCAAGAATTATTGCACTTATAAGGTTCAAAAGATTTACGACGATTTAACAGTGTTATTCCATTGATAAACCAAGCCGCAGCTTAGCATTGATAGCCCACTCATACACAGTATACCTTGATTTAGCCCCTCAATGCCGAGTGCCAGGCAGGGTAACAATAAGTACCATCTTTTTACCTATTTTGGTGTGACTGAGACAGGGGAGAGAACCGCTCTCCGGGCAGACGCTCTATCCACAAGACTACATGGCGGTCCAACCTATTTCAATAAACATTTATCTACACTATTTGTATTCAAAATAAAATAATTGAAGTTGAAATTTCCTTTTGTGATGGATGTATTGTATTATATTGTTCATATTTAATTGTCACGATAACCAGTACCTAGTCAATAAACAAAATGAATTGAGTTCAGAATAAGGGAGATAATTCATACATGTAGAATGTGCCCAAGGTTTCCTAAAATCCATACTTCTTGTCATCTGTTTAGTTGAGTGTCCCTGGAAACCCACGTCTCTCACTGACGAGTCTATAACGAGTGGTGCATTTGATATGTTCAAGAACTTAGAGACATTTCAAAACGTAATGAGCAATGGCTGGCAGGACAACTGTGAGGGCTGACAGAGTTGCACATCCACTTGTAGGGCGGCCGGTTGTTGTGTCTCCTGTCTCTCCTGCAACATACACAAGTACCGTGTGTAAGTGCTGGTTTAGTGGAAGCAAAGGTAGGTATGTGTTTGTTTTAGTCAATACCTGTAGTGGACAGTGGTGGAGTTTTACGGGTCTTAATGCCTTGAAACAATACAATGTGTACAATGATAACCACTTTGCATTTCATGGATGGTCGGGGAAAATAATAGGTCCTCAGTATAAAAGGCTGCTGAATAAATCGTCTGAAATGATGATCGTGTGGAAACAATGAGTGATGTGCCTGACTATGGTATACAGTATACCGACGACGTGGATTGTCTTCATGCTATCAACACCCGAGTAATCGGGTCTAGACACTTGGTGGTCTGTTGTGATATAGCTGTAACATTGCTGGATGACAACATGCCCCATCTCACAGCTACCCAGGTAACTACGTTAATTCTGTACCTTCGTCCACAGTGCAGACTCTACACGACTTCTGGCAGTTGGCCAGCATGTACCCGGGGTTGATGTCACAGTGGCCGTGTTTAGTCCACGTGCTACACAGGAAGTTCTTGTTCACGCATGGCCCTGAAAGGGAGATAATTCCTGTTCAACTCAATCGTATGTTTACAGTATTTGCACAACGTTTATAACAATAACAACTGTCTCGTTTGGAGGAAGAAATATACATTCACATTGACACATTTCTTTTCTCTTTCTTCTTTCAGAGAAAATAATGTAAAATCGTGAAGAGAATGATAAATATGTGCTTTATTCAAAAGGGAGTTATAGGTTAAACTGCTCGCAATAAAATCATTTTTCATGCAAAAATGTGAACTTAATTCCTGATTACCTTTAAGTGTCTTCGTTCGTTGACAGATGAGGCAGTGAAGCGGTGGTTTGTTAGTAGCGAGATATTATTCTTGAAGCACAGTTCCCGGGAAATCAACCGCTTTTACATAAATTATTAGTATGGCATTTAAATGTTAAACGTTATCAATCTCAAGGAATTAGGAATAGACTTCAATATTGTTTGCATGTATGGGGTATGAACGCAAGAACCGGTGTACACGGTGTAAATCCGCGTAGCCAATTAGGAAACAGTAGTCCGTTTGTGGGCGTGGCCTAATCTCTCTTTTTTCGGAAACATAAATGCAAACAAAACTGCTTGGTTAGCCAATCAAATGCCACGGAATCACTTGCAATTAATTAACTGAGACAAAAATGATAAGTGTGTGATGATTAACTTTACATACTTCTTTACATGCGTCATAAGCATGTGAAGGTAATGAAGACGTGGGATGTTACATGCAAGACAATTCATCATGTATGTTACAGGACAATAAATACAGAAATATAGTAGTAATGCATCAAAAGTGTTACCAGTTATATCAGTTATCCCGTGTAGCATTATTTTGCAGGAAAGACATCAGGTTGTCAAATGTAGCAGTACATACTGACGAGTTAGTCGCTGTACTACTTTTTTTTCTATGTTATGATGTGTTGGCAGCTAGTGAGTCGTGGTGATATTAACGTCCACAGTGTTGACTTACCGTCCGGGACGATTGTCTGCGTATGGCAGACTTTACACGCCTTCCGACAGTTGGTGAGCATCCAGGACGGGTTGATGTCGCAGTGGCCATTCATTGCCCACGTCCTGCACTCCACATCATTATGACTGTTTTTACATGTCTCTGTGGAAAGATGCAACTGACGTCATCGATACTGGTACACAGTCAGTAACATTCCGTGACTTATTCAAATTTTTTTATTGTTCTTATTCTTCGATTATAGTTTTAATCAATTTTCAAATAAAATTAAGTGATGATACCATTGTCGCTTCGTATCAAATATACCAAAGAGCATAGAGTAACTACTTGATAGATAAGCTTTACTCACTGTCTGTTCCATTTGTTCCAGTTCCGGTTCCGGTTCCGGTTCCGGTTCCGGTCCCAGTGCCCGTACCCGTACCGGTTCCAGTTCCAGTTCCAGTTCCAGTTCCAGTTCCAGTTCCAGTTCCGGTCCCGGTGCCTGTTCCCGAACCAGTTCCTGAACACTTGTTACACGATACGGCACAATTGTTTGCCATCCAGTTCGGATTTTTCTTACATTCGCCTTCAGACGACCAGATGTCGCATTGGCGATCCTCATACACATTTTTACACGTTCCTGCAATATAAAGTATTAGATTCGATGTACCTTGTTTACCACATATTTTGATATTTAATGTGTGTGACATGATGACCAATAGATGATGATCCAATCATTTGTGATTTAAAAGTGCGCACGGCCTGCACAAACAGCTTGAACAAATGAGACTTCCTCGACACTTACTTTCTTCCCAGAAACACTCTGTCATAGATACACTGAGGGGCAAAGGAAACTTTAACATCCAGTTGAGTTTATTATATGTTTGATTTTCAATTACAAATATCTTAAGTTAGCGATATTTTATCCCCAAAACGAACTGTACTGGCGCTCAGTCAGCACTAAAAGACTACTTCTACAAGGTTTTAATTTTTAAGATAAAAACTTTAATTTAAAAATAAAATATTTTTTTCGCATAATACACAACTGCTAGTAGGTGTCTTAGATATCTTATCTTTAAAAATCAATACATTTGCTTTTTTTCGGCATAATGTAACAACATTCAAAAAAGGTAGAGGTCATGTAGTTGCAAATTCATTGCTTAACCCCTGTCTTCTTTAAACCAGTTTATGTTGACGGTGCACGTATTGTATTACATTATTGACAGCATTGTGTTTTGACATTGTAAGTATTGTATTACATTATTGAGGGTAATGTGTGTTGACATTGTAAGTATTGTATTACATTATTGAGGGTAATGTGTGTTGACATTGTAAGTATTGTATTACATTATTGAGGGTAATGTGTGTTGACATTGTAAGTATTGTATTACATTATTGAGGGTAATGTGTGTTGACATTGTAAGTATTGTATTACATTATTGAGGGTAATGTGTGTTGACATTGTAAGTATTGTATTACATTATTGAGGGTAATGTGTGTTGACATTGTAAGTATTGTATTACATTATTGAGGGTAATGTGTGTTGACATTGTAAGTATTGTATTACATTATTGAGGGTAATGTGTGTTGACATTGTAAGTATTGTATTACATTATTGAGGGCAATGTGTGTTGACATTGTAAGTATTGTATTACATTATTGAGGGCAATGTGTGTTGACATTGTATGCAATGCATGTTGACTGAGGTTAGTGTGTGTTGCCATTGTATCCAATGCAGGATGATTGAGGGAAGTGTGTGTTGACATTATATGTAATGCATGACTGAGGGCAGCGTGGGTTTAGATTGTATGTAATGTATTATGATTGGGGGCAGTGTACGTTGACATTGTATGTACTGTATTATGATTGGGGGCAGTGTACGTTGACATTGTATGTAATGCATGATTGAGGACAGTGTGTGTGTTGACATTGTATGTCATGCATGATTGAGGACAGTGTGTGTTGACATTGTTTCTACTGTATTTTGACTGAGGGTAGTGTGTGTTGCCATTGTATACAATGCATGATCATTGAGGGCAGTGTGTGTTGACATTATATGTAATGCATGACCAAAGGCAGTGTGTTTTGACATTGTTTCTACTGTATTTTGACTGAGGGCACTGTGTGTTGTCATTATATGTAATGCATGACCGAGGGAAGTGTGTGTTGACATTGTTTTTACTGTATTTTGACTGAGGGTAGTGTGTGTTGTCATTATATGTAATCCATGACTGAGGGTAGTGTGTGTTGACATTGTATGTAATGCATGATTGAGGACAGTGTGTGTGTTGACATTATATGTAATGCATCACTGAGGGTAGTGTGTGTTGACATTATATGTAATGCATGACTGAGGGCAGTGTGTGTTGACATTGTTTCTACTGTATTTTGACTGAGGGTAGTGTGTGTTGCCATTGTATACAATGCATGATGATTGAGGGCAGTGTGTGTTGACATTGTATGTAATGCATGATGATTGACGGTAGAGTGTGTTGACATTGTATACAATGCATGATGATTGACGGCAGTGTACGTTGACATTGTACGTGATTCATCACTGAGGGTAGTGTGTGTTGACATTATATGTAATGCATGACTGAGGGCAGTGTGTGTTGACATTGTTTCTACTGTATTTTGACTGAGAGTAGTGTGTGTTGCCATTGTATACAATGCATGATGACTGAGGTCAGTGTGTGTTGCCATTGTATACAATGCATGATGATTGAGGGTAGTGTGTGTTGCCATTGTATACAATGCATCATGATTGAGGGTAGTGTGTGTTTCCATTGTATACAATGCATCATGATTGAGGGTAGTGTGTGTTGCCATTGTATACAATGCATCATGATTGAGGGTAGTGTGTGTTGCCATTGTATACAATGCATGATGATAGAGCGCAGTGTGTGTTGCCATTGTATACAATGCATGATGATTGAGGATAGTGTGTGTTGCCATTGTATACAATGCATGATGATTGAGGGTAGTGTGTGTTGCCATTGTATACAATGCATGATGATTGAGGGCAGTGTGTGTTGACATTGTATACAATGCATGACGATTGAGGGTAGTGTGTGTTGCCATTGTATACAATGCATGATGATTGAGGGTAGTGTGTGTTGCCATTGTATACAATGCATGATGATTGAGGGTAGTGTGTGTTGACATTGTATACAATGCATGATGATTGAGGGCAGTGTACGTTGACATTGCACGTGATGCATGACTGAGGGTAGTGTGTGTTGCCATTGTATACAATGCATGATGATTGAGGGTAGTGTGTGTTGCCATTGTTTACAATGCATGATGATTGAGGTTAGTGTGTGTTGCCATTGTATACAATGCATGATAATTGAGGGTAGTGTGTGTTGCCATTATATACAATGCATGATGATTGAGGGCAGTGTGTGTTGCCATTGTATACAATGCATGATGATTGAGGGTAGTGTGTGTTGCCATTGTATACAATGCATCATGATTGAGGGTAGTGTGTGTTGCCATTGTATACAATGCATGATGATAGAGCGCAGTGTGTGTTGCCATTGTATACAATGCATGATGATTGAGGATAGTGTGTGTTGCCATTGTATACAATGCATGATGATTGAGGGTAGTGTGTGTTGCAATTGTATACAATGCATGATGATTGAGGGCAGTGTGTGTTGCCATTGTATACAATGCATGATGATTGAGGGTAGTGTGTGTTGACATTGTATACAATGCATGATGATTGAGGGCAGTGTGTGTTGACATTGTATACAATGCATGATGATTGAGGGTAGCGTGTGTTGACATTGTATACAATGCATCATGATTGAGGGTAGTGTATGTTGACATTGTATACAATGCATGATGATTGAGGGCAGTGTTTGTTGACATTATATGTAATGCATGATGATTGAGGGCAGTGTGTGTTGCCATTGTATACAATGCATGATGATTGAGGGTAGGGTGTTGCCATTGTATACAATGCATGATGATTGAGGGTAGTGTGTGTTGCCATTGTATACAATACATGATGATTGAGGGAAGTGTGTGTTGACATTGTATACAATGCATGATGATTGAGGGCAGTGTACGTTGACATTGTACGTGATGCATGACTGATGGCAGTGTATGTTAACATTATATGTAATGCATGACTGAGGGCAGTGTGTGTTGCCATTGCATACAATGCAAGATGATTGAGGGCAGTGTACGTTGCCATTGTATACAATGCATGATGATTGAGGGCAGTGTGTGTTGACATTATATGTAATGCATGATTGAGGGCAGTGTGTATTGACATTATATGTAATGCATGAATGAGGGCAGTGTGTGATGCAAGATGATTGAGGGCAGTGTGTGTTGCCATTGTCTGTGATATGCAAGATGATTGAGGGCAGTGTGTTTTGACATTGTATGTGATGCAAGATGATTTAGGGCAGCGTGTGTTGACATTGTAGGTGATGTATTATGATTAAGGGCAGTGTGTTTTGACATTGTTTGTATTGTATTGGACGATTGAGAGAATCGTGTGTTTGCATCCTCCAGAAGGATGAGTGTTTCAGCTATAACCTGCTGCTGCGACTGTCCTCACCGTCCTCGCACTTGTTGCAGGACTTCCTGCAGTTGGGGATCATCCACACTGGGTTGGCGCTGCACTCCCCCTTGCTGGCCCAGCGCTTACAGGCAGCCTTGTCACTGTGGCGGTCCAAACACACACCTGTACACCATAGTAAACGATTATAGTCGCTGTCGTACATATACCCTGACACATGTACGCACAATACCTTAGTGTCTATTTGATACATCTTTATAATCACCTTTCAGTGATCGGACAACTGATCAATGATGACAAACACATAACCGCCACAGCTTCAACAACTTCGGAAATCTCTCTCGTCACGTTTATCGTGTGGGCCATCTTGACGTCTTGTACTTGATGTACATGTATTAAGACGTGCTGTCACTGTGAGAGACTCACTGAGGTAGTTATTATTGAAATACATTTCTTGGAAACAAACTACAGCAGATGTTCCTCTAAAGTAAGTTGAGCATACATACGCGCATGTCACCTCTCTATTTGGGGAACTATTTCAACCCGCGAAACAGCTGGTTGTTGTATGGCAGTCAATGTAAACATGAACTCATGTAGAACTACATCCCTCAACATATAAAATAGTGAAAAATTAAGAATTGAGTTTCACTTGGTGTGAGTTCATTGGAGTAGGAACCTTGATTGGGTAAGTGTCAAATAGTGTATGATGGTTGACGCAAGCTCCGACGTTCATACAGTGTGGCCCTCTCATTCTATGAAGGTTCCAACTACAACGAACTCACACCAAGTGAAATCAATTCTAAAATAAATAACTTTGATGGTGTTTGTTTGGTAATATATCTCACATGTAGCCTTGAAATGATAGCCGACAAAAGATGGATCTAATCACCTTCGTCTTCGTTCTCCTCCTCGTCGTCGTCGTTGTTGGTTGACGTGTGGCAAACCTGACAAGATCTCTGACAATGTTTGGCCATCCATTTGGGGTTGATCTGACACTCGCCCTCCACCGCCCACTTGTCACACTCCACACTGTTGTGCTTGTTGTTACACTTAGCTGAAGAAACAACGTCATACTTTGTCATTCTATGGATGCACTTATGTCTTATGTCCACCCTGTGTTGTAACAAATGATCCATCATCACATCAAGGCGCTGAACCAAATATGTTTCTAGGCCCGGTTTCACGAAGCCATCGTAGCGATCAAGTCACACCCTGCCGCCCCAGTAGAAACAAGGTACCTACTCTCAGGCCGGGTCTCTTTACTCATCCCCCCACCACTCAAGTCACACCCTGCCGCCCCAGTAGAAACAAGGTAACTACTCTCAGGCCGGGTCTCTTTACTCATCCCAAATCCAATCAAGTCACATCCACCCGCCCTAGTAGAAACAAGGTTCCTATTTTCAGGCCGGGTGTCTTTACTCATCCCTCACCACTCAAGTAACATCCACCCGCCCCAGTAGAAACAAGGTACCTACTCTCAGGCCGGGTCTCTTTACTCATCCCTCACCACTCAAGTCACATCCACCCGCCCTAGTAGAAACAAGGTACCTACTCTCTGGCCGGGTCTCTTTACTCATCCCCCATCCACTCAAGTCACATCCTACCGCCCCAGTAGAAACAAGGTACCTACCCTCAGGCCGGGTCTCTTTACTCATCCCTCACCACTCAAGTCACATCCACCCGCCCCAGTAGAAACAAGGTACCCTCTCTCAGGCCGGGTCTCTTTACTCATCCCCAATCCACTCAAGTCACATCCACCCGCCCCAGTAGAAACAAGGTTCCTACTCTCAGGCCGGGTCTATTTACATTCCCCCATCCACTCAAGTCACATCCACCCGCCCCGGTAGAAACAAGGTACACCAAGGTACCCTCAGGCCGGGTCTCTTTACTCATCCCTCACCACTCAAGTAACATCCACCCGCCCCAGTAGAAACAAGGTACCTACTCTCAGGCCGGGTCTCTTTACTCATCCCCCATCCACTCAATTCACATCCACCCGCCCCAGTAGAAACATGGTACCTACTCTCAGGCCGGGTCTCTTTACTCATCCCTCACCACTCAAGTCACATCCACCCGCCCCAGTAGAAACAAGGTACCTACTCTCAGGCCGGGTCTCTTTACTCATCCCCCACCACTCAAGTCACACTCATCACCCGCCCCAGTAGAAACAAGGTACCTACTCTCAGGCCGGGTCTCTTTACTCATCCCTCCATCACTCAAGTCACTTCCACCCGCCCCAGTAGAAACAAGGTACCTATTCTCAGGCCGGGTCTCTTTACTCATCCCCCATCCACTCAAGTCACATCCACCCGCCCCAGTAGAAACAAGGTACCTACTCTCAGGGCGGGTCTCTTTATTCCCACAGGCGTTGCACGTCTTCTTGCAGTTCCGGGACATCCACCACTCGTTGGTGGCGCAGTCGCCATGTTGCCTCCATTTGGCACACTTCTCGGCAGAGTAGATATCTTTACATATACCTGGTTATGTAAAACATTCTGTTACGTATTTGTACACAGGACATACAAGTGAGATCAGACGAAAAGCATACAGTCCAACCACCACGTGTTCTTAGCCTTCATATGTGAGGGCTATTTACAGACATCATACTTGCATTGATCATAGAATTAGGTTATTGATAATAATCTTATTTATGTAAATGTGGGCCCTTGGTGTAACGTTTGTTTCTTTGTTGTTAAACGCCACACTCAGCAATATTCCAGCTATCTGACCGCGGTCTGTAAATAATCGAGCCTGGACCAGACAATCCAGTGATTAACATCATGAGCATCGATCCACGCAATTGGGATACGATGACATGCCTCAACCAAGTCAGCAGCCTGACCACCCGACCCCGTTAGTCGCCTTTTACGACAAGGCGTGTGGTAACCATCCAGATGTTACTGAAGTCCTGTGTGCAACGCGGTCTTGGTAACAGTAGTCAGGACTTCCCAGTAATTTACTAAACTGTACAGACAGGTATGTGAGCTGCAGGTACTTCGACATAGGCTATCAGCAATGCAAGACATACGTTGATCTGTATCAACTGAAGATAATGACAATTTAAATGCTGATTTATTGCAATGAGTAGGCAATCAAGTTCTATCGTGTATGTAGAGAGGTGCACGGACATGTCACAGACAAACACAGAGGAGAAAGGAATAGTTCAGACCATGCATGTATGTGTACATTCAACACGTGATGGCGGGCTAGGTGACTACAGTGTCGCTACAAGCATGTTCAACAAGGCTACTGGGTTAGCTGCCCAGACAGTTTGCATGCATTGAAAGTGTATAGGGGTCTGTGGCAGACACGTCGTGGCACATACATCAGTCAAGTGCGGATCCAGGATGTGTTCAAAGCGGGACATTATCTTTGAATATACTGTTTGGAGGGGTGAAGATCGGGGTGTTTGTTGTGATTTTAATACCTTCTGTACCTGCATCTATCAGTTACTTTAAACTGTAACTTTCGCATAGCTATCACAGAGACACATGTTCTTCAAACACGGATGCCCCCCTGGATCCGCCATTGTCATATAACAGATTACACACACACAGTGTACCAGGCAAGAGTAAGGATCAATCCAAAGAATGCGGACGGGATTTTCATCATTAAATGTTACAAAAACCCTTCCCGAACCCTGTGGTGGGTATTGTGTGTGCGAACATGCTTGGGACACAAAACCAGGAAGTTCAGGCATAAAACACCTATGATCCAGTCCTTTGGAACAATATTTGTAAAAATCCCAAACCACTGCCACGCCCATGTGGTGAAGTGGTTCTCTGAAATAAACAGTGGGTTTGTTTATTTAACGTCAATGTGTTCTCACGTAATCACTGATTCCAGAAACATGCAAATTCTTCAAATATCAGACTGATAAGGATATATATTCATGTCATAGTTGAATCCGTTTTCTGATCCTACATCATACATGATAAAATAAATGGCATGCTTTATGGATGGATATGACCTTTAAATGCAAATAGCTTCACCTCATTGGTGAAGACTGATTTTATGTAAACATGTTTCCCCTACACTGCATTCTTCTTCAGCGGTGTAACCCAGACTGACACAGCATACATCAACCTACCTTCCTCCGCCCCGTCAGTCCTCGGCCCGCACAGTTCACAGGCTTTCTTGCAGTTCTTGGTCATGAATTTGCTGTTGCGGTCACACTCCCCGGAGTTCGCCCAAATCCAACACTGCCAGTCGTCGTACACGTTGCTGCAGGTCTCTGAAATGTCCACGTTGCCTATGGTTCGTCTTCTTTATACTTATATATGCTCTATTTTTTGCAAGCTTGTAAATTTCTGTTTTTTATATTGTTATTTGCTACAATTTTCTTTCAGGCGTTTTAGATTAAATGCTGGTTGGTAGACATACCATCATTGGCAGCTTGTGTGGTCTTGCCCTCCTGGCAGTCACGTGACCCGTCGGGACAAATACAGCGACATGTCTGGTCCAGGAAGCCGCCATCTTTACACCGGATGTTGGCCGGACACCCGTCTGGAACATAATGCAACTCGTCATAGCAAGGTAAGCCGACACTTTGAGAGACAACAGGGCACAGAGTGCATGAATGCATGTTTAAGAGGTGCCTGCATTCATAACTAAATAAAGTAGTCTGTTTCACGTGTGACTTGAAAGTCACATGCAAACTTGATGTAACTACCTGTATGTCAAGAAGTAGTTATACGTGCCTGGACACGGCTTTTTACAGCTGCCTGATCGGACTGATGCGTCTTCGCAGTTATTGTCAAAATATTCACCAACAAGTAACGAAGATCTACACGCTTTCTGGTAGGCATGTGCATTGTACGTTTAGAAGTTTGAAGACACAAAACATAAGTGAATAAAAGTAGCAAAACCGTTTCCGTAATCACAAGAAATATCTGCTAACAGCACAGTCCTCGGTACGATTCCGACTGTATCATGATCATGTGTTTATGAATCATATTTGTAACGCGTGTTAATGACGTCAATCACGTTGTCTATCACGGTGAATACAATGCACTGCACCGATTTCCTCAGTTTATCATTGCGGCCTGTCAGTTATCGAGCCAGGCACACATGTGGTTGAAAGCATGCGCCACGATCCACGCCGTCGGGACACACACACATTGCATGGTTCCACCCGGTCCTCCCATTGTCAGCACTTACGACAAGTATGGGTACTGCTGATCTGTTGTCTATAAGAAGTAGCATATTGAATACTTCATGCAGTATACGAAGGCCGCTCACCTCCACACTTGTACATGAGATTGACCGTCTTGATGTCAGAGAGGGCCAACTCCTTGAGGAACACCTTGCCAATCTCCTCCTCCCTATCGGCGTCCAGAGCCTGGATAGTTTGGGCCCGCCCGTTGTACGAGAACGCCTAGAAATGCAGGGTAGAGGTGTCAGGTCAGTTGCCTTTGTAAATATACGTCGTGCAGCAACTCGGACATCTGAATGAAAGGCAACTGTGTGTACTCACCGTGATACCGTAGTGCATGATAGAGGAGTATTGGTAGTCGACGCCGTACAGGTTCACCTTGGCTCGAGAGTACGTGTTGAACCATACACGCATGTGCGGAGCAACGTTCTGGAAAAGGATGCGAATGTGGTCGTCTCTGTCTGGGCGCTGGTGCTCGTGGACAAGGCCGATGGCATGACCAATCTCGTGCAGGTACAGTCCTCTCTGTGGGTATAGGGAACATCGAAGTAGAAACCATGGCAACATCCGCCAGGTAATCAACGTAAGGAATCCCCCAGGGGTTATAGTTAGTGAACACTGACCTCTTGATAGATAGTCCTAGTTTGGGCAACATTCATAAATACTTACAAATCTGCATCCTGGCGCTTCTAGATTGAGTGTCTGAACTCCTCCGACCATCCCCAGCTGGGAGCTACACCTGGAGTGGAAGGTTACATCAGATATAGTATATACATACATTATATCACTTTTGTGTTACAGCAAGATTAACTGGAATACGGTCCTCGGGGAAATATCTGAAACTGATTTCAGATTTGGCAAAAAAAGATCTTATGTCAGTGTGTTACAGATGAAGCTACATGTCGAAAGACTGGCCTGTGTGAGCATAGATGTATTTAACCTACTCACAAATACCAGTCACCTGGGGAAAATGTTTAGCAGAATGTACTAGTTGTAACATCTTGTAGATCAGCCTGGTATCTTCCTGAGAGACTCACCCTTCTCCATTCTGGAAGCGGACAACGTTAGGATCTGCGGCCTGAGCGGGTCGAAACTTGAGGCACGTGTACCGCTCCCACTCTGTCATCGCCTGCTTGATCATGAACCTTTCCTTCTTATCTGGCACAGAAGTGACAGGTAATCACCGTGGATCTCATTGCAGGTGTACAAACAACGAGGTCAGGTCTAGACACTAACCTTAAGCGATCGTAGCAGTAATGTTCAATGTCTGAAACGTTGGTGCCGCAATGGAGGTTAATATGAGCATTAAAGTGTATTAATTACAAATTACGACAGCTTACCAGTTTTACTGTGGTACCTTCATATTTTTTCTACTGCAGTTTTTTAGCTCTCGGGTCGCTTTCAACAAACTTCCAGTCATGTCACGACGGCTTGGAGTGCAGCGTATCCGTGGCTGATAGCTTTAAGATGAATCTGCGTCCTCGTGGTATAAAGTTGCACAAATCCAACCAGGCCAGTTAAACGTTAATCAGTTTGACTATGTGAGAAGCGTAGGACGCTATAACATATATTAAATGTTGGTTGAAAAAATATTCTGGCGAGACGAAGGATGACAATTGTCAACATTCCCTAAGTCACTGTAGTCCATGTTCGTTATTGTTCCACATCACTACTCCACAGACGTCCCGAATATGGATGTGTGCAGGACGGGACACATCTGCCCGAGGCAGGCGTGCTGCTAGCCTTTTTCAAAGTCTAGTTTTCACCCTTGACATTATCTGTTCAAACAAGTGAGAGTTCTATCACACATATCTATAGTCCATTCAGAGAAAGTCTTACAAAATCAAGATCCGGGTTCAGAAAACGTGGTCCCCGCTGTTATGGCCACAGCCGTCGCCTGTGGAAACTGCGCTGACATATTTCCCAAAATTAAGCGAAGACAAATATTTTCGAAGTGGTTCACAGATTTTAATCAACTCGCAACTTGCAACTTGTTCGTCAGCGATGAAATCTCGAATCCTTTCGTTATCTTATCGACCGCTATATGGTAGTCGTCTCTGTAAAACCATTCGAAATACGGACAACAATCTGATTGGACGTCGCGTTTTCATCACAAGGGACACTACTCGTGTTCTACAGGGCGTGGTGCCACGATCGAGCCAAGACAGGTTTGAAATGGCACGGGTGGAAAGCGCAGTGTTTGATGTAGTCTAGTGGACACGTTTGCCTCGGGAAGCAGGCCACACATATCCGTTTTGTCAATATAGGTTTAGTTGACTTAGTGTCAGTTACAATACACCATGCTTATGTTTGTTATTTAACAGTTAACCAGACCCTAGTTTTATCCCTGCGGCATCTTAACATTCTAGACTGCAATGATATACCAGTGGCTGATATCATGAGCAACGTCCCTTACTGTCGGGGTACGATGACACGCAATCCACCAAGTCACCGAGCCTCAGCACGAGATCAATAGTCGCAACGTACGACCAGCAGCAGTGTCCTGTGTACCTATACTAACCCAGGTTCTCGTGGGGAATGTTTTATATTTCTCCCGGCTGATTTATTTTTCAATGAATAAATATTCACACGGAGTTTGTTTCTGCTATGTCCATTAGCATCCATTTTTTAGAATACGCAAACTGTTCAGTTACAAGGCGTGACAGTTACAAATGTAACACATCGGAAACAGATATCACATGTCAGCTATGCTATGGCTCCATCTGTTTGGGTGTTATAAGTTTGATATCGGATAGATAAAGCTTCACAGCATATGAGGACGAAATTTTAAAAATGCTTCAAATGTAGAAAATATGTGTATCAGCGACACGGACGGAAATAAGCCTGAGCGCATCGATGTGGGGTGCAGATTTCCATCCACAGATGTGCAAACTCAGTCCATTGCTCGTCCGCCCTGCATACAAAGGGCATTCTATGTGGCACAATGATGAGTACAGTGATACAAGTGTTTGGAACTCGGTATCTGGCCTTACCGAAGTGACCCGGGGCAAATGTATAGGGTATCTCGGAGCTGGTCCATCGCAGTAAGACATCTCTGGCCGCCTTCCGCTTCTCCCGGCCTGATGTAGAGTGCATCTTCTTGTCACTGCAAGACACAACATAATAATCCAATACATACCAGCGTATCAGCCGACCTCGATTCGTTCAAAGATATATAGTGTTGGGTATTTGTGCGTTGGTTTTTTCTAATATTCAAGTTTGTAAATATTCAGAAACTGTTCACTCGTTTAGATGACACACCAAATGCCTCCCACATGTTTAAGAGCGTGGACCAGGGGTTCAAGGGAAAGGAGATACATGAAGAATGGACAATCTGACTCCGTTATAGAAATGATCGGACCTGCTGATATGGACGGACAACAAACCTTTCGAGAAGTTCTAACTGTGACAGAGTCAGTGATCCGGGTTGTATTGCTCTCCATGTTTGTACTTTCGTTACGTTAAAAAATTAGCTTGGGTCAGAGATGTTTTCATGTTCCAATAATGGAGAATTCAGCCTATTTTATGTAGCTGTCTTTTGATGCGGTGATATTTATAAGTCCAAAATCAACAAGTGCTGAAAAAGTCAATCTCTAATTCTCATTCGCACATGATAACCTTCACAACGATTTCAGGTTTTATCTTTTCTTCTGTCCTGTAGTGGATCTGCAGGGTTCCGCATTATGCAGTCTGTTGACCTGTTGCAGTCTGCATTTGTTATTACGTTTTATGTTACAAAAACACGACCTGCAGATTGTTATGTCTTATAACAATCTCTTCTTCTAGATAGTAAATTAACAGAACAAAGAGTATATTCAGTAATGTGGGCCTAATAGTTAATTAGTCCGTGGAACATGTGACGTTGTTAAGGAATATCTTAGCATATCCACACAATAGCAAGTGTTCCCACACTGTCAAATATTTAGTGCTTCAAGTATTTCAAAAAGACCATTATTAGAAACACTATTTCTGACAGCGGTCAAATATATGACACGAATTTTCAAATGGTTAAAACATTTAAACCCTTTGTTTCAGAACGATGTTATGTCGAGGAGAAATAGCATTATAGGGTAGTTACAAATACCCCAACATATTCACCGTCCATTGCCAACAGAAAAACATAGCATTGTAACATTGTAAAGTTTATTTCAAATGTATACCACTGTAAGACTTCATAAAATCTAGGTATTCATTCATGAAATATAGTATCAATATTGATCTACACACACAGCTCTGAATGACACCGGTCGAAATATTAAAATTAATGACCATATATGGAATCGCTATCATCGTCATAGTTTTCCGTAGAAGTGTGCCTTGTGTTGAATGTCTCGCATTCCACCAATCAACTCACCTGAAACGTGTGACCGACGCAGTAAGAAAGGTATTGTAAGCCACTCCTACGCTGATTGGCTGGTAACATCACACGCTCTGTACATACATGTACCTGTCCTCGCGTTACAACGAGGGGTTTATTCGTAGGTAGAGCCCACAAAGAGTGACATTCCTAGTCAGTGGGAAGGTTAGTGCATCCAGGTACTCAATGACTTAACGTTTCCATATAAAAAGTGATGTCCGGCCATACCCATTTCTAGACATGTGTTTACTCACAATTTAATTTAAGGTTGGGTTTCTACAGGGGTGTCGTCTACCGCCACCAGCAAACACATAGACATAGAAGCTGGTGAAACTTTCTCACATGCAAAGTAAAGGAGTTTCCCTTCATGTACTGGCGAGCGTAGATGACAGAAGTCGTTACTTTAGTCCTTTACAGCTTTATCGTCGTTTACAAAAAGTAAGAAATAGGTTTTGTAGTAGTAGTAGTTTGTTGTTGAGAACGCTGAAGTAAGATGAGCATACTGTAGATCACATGTTCGCAATCAAAGGAAATGTATTGGTTGTTGAAGAGACTTTAACCGTGTGTATATATAACGCGATTTGCCCGTCATTCAAGTCACAACAAATCTGCAGCCTGAAATCACGAAAGCCTGTGAATCGTGATATAAATATTCCATTTGAGTGGAGAGCGAACACTCATTAAATACACATAGAAAGGGGACAATGTTCACATCATCGATGTCGGCCTCTGAGTTGAAGCAACAACCACAAGGCGGTTTGTATAGAAACAGGAAACGTGACTTATCTATCAGGGACAATGCCAGGATGTCAGATGATACTGTAACTAAACCTACGAGCGTATCGTGGTGTCACCATTGTCCCTTCCTCGCAACGGGTAGATCTTTGTTATGCGTCCACATCAGGAAACGCAGGAGACATCGATAGAAAATCGGTTCTCACGAAACATACATTCCCCATTTTCACATCCTGACCCAGTGCGGTCATCTACGTCAAAAAGGTCATCAGGCAAAATCTCAGTTACCTACACTGGCCACCAGTGTACATCCCTCAGTTACCTAAACTGGGCACCAATGTGCATCCCTCCTATACTGGGCACCAATGTACATCCCTCAGTTACATATACTGGGCACCAGTGTACATCCCTCAGTTACCTACACGGGCCACCAGTGTACATCCCTCAGTTACCTAAACTGGGCACCAATGTGCATCCCTCCTATACTGGGCACCAATGTACATCCCTCAGTTACATATACTGGGCACCAGTGTACATCCCTCAGTTACCTACACGGGCCACCAGTGTATATCCCTCAGTTACCTACACGGGCCACCAGAGTACATCCCTCAGTTACCTATACTGGGTACCAGTGTGCATCCCTCCTATACTGGGCACCAATGTACATCCCTCAGTTACATATACTGGGCACCAGTGTACATCCCACAGTTACATATACTGGGCACCAGTGTACATCCCTCAGTTACATATACTGGGCACCAGTGTACATCCCTCAGTTACCTACACGGGGCACCAGTGTACATCCCTCATTTGCCTATACTTGGCACCAGTGTACATCCCTCAGTTGCCTATACTGGGCACCAGTGTGCATCCCTCCTATACTGGGCACCAGTGTACATCCCTCAGTTACATATACTGGGCACCAGTGTACATCCCTCAGTTACCTACAAGGGGCACCAGTGTACATCCCTCATTTGCCTATACTTGGCACAGTGTACATCCCTCAGTTGCCTATACTGGACACCAGTGTACATCCCTCAGTTACCAAACACTGGGCACCAATGTCATCACTCAGTTACCTATACTGGGCACCAGTGTACATCCCTCAGTTACCTACACTGGGCACCATTGTACATCCCTAAGTTACCTATACTGGGGACCAGTGTACATCCCTTAGTTACCTATACTGGGCACCAATGTCATCCCTCATTTGCCTATACTGGGCACCAGTGTACATCCCTCAGTTACCTATACTGGGCACCAGTGTACATCTCTTAGTTACCTACACTGGGCACCAATGTACATCACTCAGCTACATGGGCACCAGTGTACATCCATCAGTTACCTACACGGGGCACCAGTGTACATCCCTCAGTTACCTATACTGGGCACCAGTGTACATCTCTTAGTTACCTACACTGGGCGCCAGGGTACATCCCTCAGTTACCTATACTGGGCACCAGTGTACATCTCTTAGTTACCTACACTGGGCACCAATGTACATCACTCAGCTACATAAGCACCAGTGTACATCCCTCAGTTACCTACACGGGGCACCAGTGTACATCCCTCAGCTACCTATACTGGGCACCAATGTACATCCCTCAGTTACCCACAAGGGCCACCAATGTACATCCCTCATTTGCCTATACTGGGCACCAGTGTACATCCCTCAGTTACCTATACTGGGCACCAGTGTACATCCCTACGTTACCTACACTGGGCACCAGTGTACATCCCTCAGTTACCTACACGGGGCACCAGTGTACATACCTCAGTTACCTACACTGGGCACCAGTGTACATCCCCCAGTTACCTACACTGGGCACCAGTGTACACCCCTTAGTTACCTACACGGGGCACCAGTGTACACCCCTTAGTTACCTGTACTGGGCACCAATGTACATCCCTCAGTTACCTATACTGAGCACCAATGTAAATCCCTCAGTTACCTATACTGTGCACCAGGGTACATCCCTCAGTTACCTATACGGGGCACCAATGTACATCCCTCAGTTACCTATACTGGGCACCAGTGTACATCCCTCAGTAACCTACACTGGGCACCAGTGTACATCCCTCAGTTACCTACACTGGGCACCATTGTACATCCCTAAGTTACCTATACTGGGGACCAGTGTACATCCCTTAGTTACCTATACTGGGCACCAATGTCATCACTCAGTTACCTATACTGAGCACCAGTGTACATCCCTCAGTTACCTATACTGGGCACCAGTGTACATCTCTTAGTTACCTACACTGGGCACCAATGTACATCACTCAGCTACATGGGCACCAGTGTACATCCCTCAGTTACCTACACGGGGCACCAGTGTACATCCTTCAGTTACCTATACTGGGCACCAGTGTACATCTCTTAGTTACCTACACTGGGCGCCAGGGTACATCCCTCAGTTACCTATACTGGGCACCAGTGTACATCTCTTAGTTACCTACACTGGGCACCAATGTACATCACTCAGCTACATAAGCACCAGTGTACATCCCTCAGTTACCTACACGGGGCACCAGTGTACATCCCTCAGCTACCTATACTGGGCACCAATGTACATCCCTCAGTTACCCACAAGGGGCACCAATGTACATCCCTCATTTGCCTATACTGGGCACCAGTGTACATCCCTCAGTTACCTATACTGGGCACCAGTGTACATCCCTACGTTACCTACACTGGGCACCAGTGTACATCCCTCAGTTACCTACACGGGGCACCAGTGTACATACCTCAGTTACCTACACTGGGCACCAGTGTACATCCCCCAGTTACCTACACTGGGCACCAGTGTACACCCCTTAGTTACCTACACGGGGCACCAGTGTACACCCCTTAGTTACCTGTACTGGGAACCAGTGTACATCCCTCAGTTACCTATACTGGGCACCAATGTAAATCCCTCAGTTACCTATACTGTGCACCAGGGTACATCCCTCAGTTACCTATACGGGGCACCAATGTACATCCCTCAGTTACCTATACTGGGCACCAGTGTACATCCCTCAGTAACCTACACTGGGCACCAGTGTACATCCCTCAGTTACCTATACGGGACATCAATGTACATCCCTCAGTTACCTATACTGGGCATCAGTGAACATCCCTCAGTTACCTATACTGGGCACCAGTGTACATCCCTCAGTTGCCTACACTTGGCACCAGTGTACATCCCTCAGTTACCTATACGGGGCACCAATGTACATCCCTCAGTTACCTAGACGGGGCACCAATGTACATCCCTCAGTTGCCTATACTGGGCACCAGTGTACATCCCTCAGTTACCTATACTGGGCATCAGTGAACATCCCTCAGTTACCTATACTGGGCACCAGTGTACATCCCTCAGTTGCCTACACTTGGCACCAGTGTACATCCATCAGTTACCTACACGGGGCACCAGTGTACATCCCTCAGTTACCTATACTGGGCACCAGTGTACATCTCTTAGTTACCTACACTGGGCGCCAGGGTACATCCCTCAGTTACCTATACTGGGCACCAGTGTACATCTCTTAGTTACCTACACTGGGCACCAATGTACATCACTCAGCTACATGGGCACCAGTGTACATCCCTCAGTTACCTACACGGGGCACCAGTGTACATCCCTCAGCTACCTATACTGGGCACCAATGTACATCCCTCAGTTACCTACAAGGGGCACCAATGTACATCCCTCATTTGCCTATACTGGGCACCAGTGTACATCCCTCAGTTACCTATACTGGGCACCAGTGTACATCCCTACGTTACCTACACTGGGCACCAGTGTACATCCCTCAGTTACCTACACTGGGCACCAGTGTACATACCTCAGTTACCTACACTGGGCACCAGTGTACATCCCCCAGTTACCTACACTGGGCACCAGTGTACACCCCTTAGTTACCTACACGGGGCACCAGTGTACACCCCTTAGTTACCTGTACTGGGCACCAATGTACATCCCTCAGTTACCTATACTGGGCACCAATGTAAATCCCTCAGTTACCTATACTGTGCACCAGGGTACATCCCTCAGTTACCTATACGGGGCACCAATGTACATCCCTCAGTTACCTATACTGGGCACCAGTGTACATCCCTCAGTAACCTACACTGGGCACCAGTGTACATCCCTCAGTTACCTATACGGGGCACCAATGTACATCCCTCAGTTACCTATACTGGGCATCAGTGAACATCCCTCAGTTACCTATACTGGGCACCAGTGTACATCCCTCAGTTGCCTACACTTGGCACCAGTGTACATCCCTCAGTTACCTATACGGGGCACCAATGTACATCCCTCAGTTACCTAGACGGGGCACCAATGTACATCCCTCAGTTGCCTATACTGGGCACCAGTGTACATCCCTCAGTTACCTATACTGGGCACCCATGTACATCCCTTAGTTACCTACACTGGGCACCAGTGTACATCCCTCAGTTACCTACACTAGCACCGGTGTACATCCCTCAGTTACCTACACGGGGCACCAATGTACATCCCTCAGTTACCTACACTGGGCACCAGTGTACATCCCTCAGTTACCTATACTGGGCACCAGTGTACATCCCTCAGTTACCTACACTGGGCACCAGTGTACATCCATCAGTTACCTACACGGGGCACCAGTGTACATCCCTCAGTTACCTACACTGGGCACCAGTGTACATCCATCAGTTACCTACACTGGGCACCAGTGTACATCCATCAGTTACCTACACGGGGCACCAGTGTACATCCCTTAGTTACCTATACTGGGCACCAGTGTACATCCCTCAGTTACCTACACTGGGCACCAGTGTACATCCATCAGTTACCTACACGGGGCACCAGTGTACATCCCTCCTCAGTTACCTATACTGGGCACCAGTGTACATCCATCAGTTACCTACACGGGGCACCAGTGTACATCCCTCCTCAGTTACCTATACTGGGCGCCAGTGTACATCCCTCAGTTGCCTACACGGGGCACCAGTGTACATCCCTCAGTTACCTACACTAGCACCGGTGTACATCCCTCAGTTACCTACACTGGGCACCAGTGTACATCCCTCCGTTACCTATACTGGGCACCAGTGTAAATCCCTCAGTTAGTTACACGGGGCACCAGTGTACATCCCTCAGTTACCTACACTGGGCACTAATGTACATCCCTCAGTTAGTTACACGGGGCACCAGTGTACATCCCTCAGTTATCTACACTGGGCACTAATGTACATCCCTCATTTACCTATACTGGGGACCATAGTACATCCCTCAGTTACCTACACTGGGCACCAGTGTACATCCCTCAGTTACCTACACTAGGCACCAGTGTACATCCCTCAGTTACCTACACTGGGCACCAGTGTACATCCCTTAGTTACCTATACTGGGCAACAATGTACATCCCTCAGTTACCTACACGGGGCACCAGTGTACATCCATCAGTTACCTATACTGGGCACCAGTGTACATCCCTCAGTAACCTATACTGGGCACCAGTGTACATCCCTCAGTTACCTACACTGGGCACCAGTGTACATCCCTCAGTTACCTACACTGGGCACCAGTGTACATCCCTCAGTTACCTATACTGGGCACCAGTGTACATCCCTCAGTAACCTATACTGGGCACCAGTGTACATCCCTCAGTTACCTACACTGGGCACCAGTGTACATCCCTCAGTTACCTACACGGGGCACCAGTGTACATCCCTCAGTTACCTACACGGGGCACCAATGTACATCCCTCAGTTACCTACACTGGGCACCAGTGTACATCCCTCAGGTACCTACACTGGACACCAATGTACATCCCTCAGTTGCCTATACTGGGCAACAATGTACATACCTCAGTTACCTACACGGGGCACCAGTGTACATCCATCAGTTACCTACACGGGGCACCAGTGTACATCCCTCAGTTACCTACACGGGGCACCAGTGTACATCCCTCAGTTACCTACACTGGGCACCAGTGTACATCCCTCAGTTACCTATACTGGGCACCAATGTATATCCCTCAGTTACCTATACTGGACACCGGTGTACATCCCTCAGGTACCTATACTGGGCACCTCTCATATACTACTTATCATTGAAGTCGTATGCTTGGCATCTGGCTTGGCCGCTATAAGACCTACCAGCTGTGCATCTGGTAACAGTCGCTATAATGGACCTACCAGCTGGGCAGCTGGTAACAGTCGCTATAAAAGACCTACCCGCTGGGTAACTGGTAATAGTCGCTATAAAGAACCTACCTGCTATGCATCTGGTAACAGTTGTTATAAGACCTTCTTACTTGGAATCTGGTACAAGTCGCTATAAGACCTGCCTGCTGGGAATCTGGCACACGCTGAAATAAGACCAATCTGCTCGGCATCTGGTACACGTCGCTATAAGACCTACCCGCTGGGCATCTGGTAACAGTCACCATAAAGGACCTACCCGCTAGGTAACTGGCACAAGTCGCAAAAAGACCAACCTGCTGAGCATCTGGTAACAGTCACCATAAAGGACCTACCTGCTGGGCATCTGGTAACAGTCGCTATAAGGGACCTACCAGCTGGGCATCTGGTAACAGTCGCTATAATGGACTTACCAGCTGGGCATCTGGTAATAGTCGCTATAAAGGACCTACCCGCTGGGCATCTGGTTACAGTCGCTATAAAGGACCTACCTGCTTGGCATCTGGTACAAGTTGAGGAACTGTTCCTGTGTCAGCATCATGTCTAACTCGGCAAGGATGTGCTCCCCTGGGGCGACCATCCTGTGGGCGGCAACTGTAGTAAACATACAACAATACTTCAATATCTAGCGTCAATGATATCAACGAAACGAATCTTGTAATAATATGCTAGACTTACGATTGCCTTAGAGCTAAGTACTGTTGACAAGATCCACTCGCAGGCCTTTCTTTACATATCTGTCATTGACCTCTAAAGTATGGTAATTTAAGGACAAACGTTCACAACATTGATGTTCGTCAACAATGTAACAATAGCCACACAAACATTGAGAGTACTGTTGTACGTATATTATCGTCTAGGAGCCAGCAACCAGATATGGTCGTTGGATGAGGTTTGGTCAGGCGTTTGGACATGTTTGGCTAGGGTTACTTCAAAACTATATCTGATGAATCCCTAACTATATACATCTGCTCTAAATAATGTTCAACACAAATAGAGTGTAGGGCAGTCACCGCCGTGCACCACTCACCGTCAATGCCACCCAACTGTTTGGTCAGAATCTGGTCTATGGTGAGGTTTGTCGGGGGGTCGAGGGTCTTGAAGCTCCCAGGAGGTGGGTACTTCTTCTTTGGGGGTGTTTCTTGCCGGGGACGGGCGTGTGTTGCGATCCCCAGACACACCTGACAACAGTGTACACGTAATTAGCTCGCGGGATGATGACGGTACGAAATGTAACAAAAAGGTGTTTCCAGTTTTAACAACAAGGAGGGGATCTCTCGACAACATTCTGATACAGCTGTAACTTTTACAAAGAGAGAGTCAGGCAACATGTGCAGGATCGCTGATTGCTGGAGCTTCCTGTCAGCACATAAATACAATACTGTGATCCGATCATCATAAAGTTGCAATTCACATGGTAATACATAAATAAATAATGTATAATAATAAATAAATGACAAACATTATTTGATGACAATCTTTCATTCCACGACTGTTGATGTTACATCATAGTAAAGAAATAAAAGACAAGAGCTTACTCTCAGTGATTTCAGGGAGTCATTGAAAGATCGCAGAGAAGGATTAACGACTGTTGCTATGGTTATCGAGGGAAGGAAGTTGGGATTTTATGAAACGCCTAGACATTTTCGAGGTTTTTTTATAAGACCATGTATATTGTTAACAGAAGCATGACCTGTCTGCCTGCTCGGTACGCTGTGTCAGATACTACAGTTTCAAAGTATTACATAATGGCCTGGACTACTTAATATCATGGAATCGGATAAGAAAGGTCAGCGTTTCTTTCAAGACTGAACGTAACTCTTTAATGAAATATTATACCCCATCATACTTGCATTGTAGGCCGAAGCTAAGCCGTACTTTAACATTTTGCACAATGGCATCGTATTTGATTTCAATTACACACTAGAGTTGAAACCGAGTTCATTATGAGGGGATATTTCCCGGCAGCAGACCTGCTCAGCTCGAAGTATGCCCGACAACGTTATGTATGTCCTTTTTTGTCTCGAGGTCAAGTCTGTGTCCTATTTGTGTGTCTTTGTTGTGCTAGACTTTAATGTGTAATTGATTTACTTCCGAAGCAAAATGTGCCCCAGTTTCACATCCTTCTCGTAAAAGTCGACAGTGACCTGTTTCAGTTTGTCTTATTCTACTCCAACAACACAATTCGTTGCCCATCCTGACTGGATCGTCTCCCCCGTCTTTACATAAGTCAGAACCCACTATCGTATTGATTACAACCTCCAGTCGAGCATGGCTGATATAAACATTCAAATAACTGAAGCGTGTTGATATACATATTACGTATAATATATACAGATGATGTGAATATACAAAACAACCATTTAACAGCCGATATGTCACACGATTAAGGCAATAGTCGAGTGGTAGAGGCTTGTCGTATGGAGGCTTGACGTGAACGGCAGTTTGCTTCCCAACATGGACAGTCAACACCAGGCGTATCTGCTGTCAGCACCTGCAGCGACTACTATCCTATTGGCCGTTACGTCATGAATGTGTACACATGCAGTGCGTTAGTGAAGCTAACTAGTGATACCCGTGTGCCCGTTACCGTATATAACTTCCTATTCACTGTTCCTATTCTGTTGTACACGCGATTCATGCATTGTCTTCAGCATGTCTATTGTTGTTTTAATATTGAAACTGTCGCATTTACGTGGCCGTTCAAGGGAATCGGAGCAACCTTTTTAAGGGGCATTTTGTTTTGAGATGAGCATTTTTGTTAAATGTCTAGGAGCTCGTTTTTTTCGAACGGACACAAGTGCTCTTTTTTTAAATTATCAAAATACCGAACGGTATTCTTTTTAGACCCTTGTCTGAAATAGACGAACACATCATGATGATCTATAACGTTACATAGTAACTCACTTACTTATATACAAACACAACATGTTAACTACGTATGGCTCGATCCTCTTACGTCCAGTGCTACAACCGCAGCATGTGTGGGATAACTGTGTTTGTTTGCAACAGAACCTGCCTAAATATTATTGTAAAACTACATGTCCTACCATGAGGCGAGTTTTACGAAGAAAACATGAATTCTATTACATGAATGAATTTCCCATTGAATCATATTATATATTGGCAGCATTGATCACTGTGGAATTGTAGGCGCGCCATATACCCGTCTCAAGAAACTGTTTCGTATGAAACTGCATGAAATAACAAGAAAACAAGTGAATATTAAATTGAAAACACGGTATGTTGTTCTAAAGCGTGGAGAAAAACAGTCGCCACTTAATACTGTATACTACACGTGACCTCGCCGGCCAGACCATTTCCGTGCTGGCTCTGCTGGCCTCTTAAATACCTCGCGTATAACTGATACAAACCTAGCACGGGCTCCAGTACATAGAATATTCCTACCAATCAGCATTATGTTGTATATCTTAAACCACATCTCAACCTTGTGCCCTTGCCTTGACAATGTTAACATATCAACACATATAAGTTCAAACCAACTTTGACGTCACTCATATATCCATGGACGACACGTGTTTTTATATTGCAGTACCACTGTAGTCAGTTGAATTTGTATAAAAAATTAAAATACAATTTGAAAATACAAGCGGGAAAACTGGTATGCATTGTTTTCTTCCATTTTTCGCACACGGTGACAAGTCTACAATCAATGGCATGCCTAGCATCGTGAGAGTTCTCTTAATAGATAAAGCATAGTTATGACAGAGCTTTGTGATAATTACTAAAACATGCAGATGTCACTGACCACATTTTGAAAAATGAACTCCCCAGTACTTACCACCAGCGCGATCGAGACCAACAACTTGCTCCGCATGTTAAAACTTTTAAAAGCCAATTTCGTCTGTTTCCGTGTTATGTTTTAATGTTTACAGTGTGTGTCGTGGTGTGAATGAAGACTCCGACATAACGCCACCTATTTATCCCAGTGAGGAGGTGCGTCAACAATGACCTGTTTTCCTCAACCCATGGAGCGGAACAACGAGTCATCGTGGGCACATCGCGTTATAACAGGGCAAGCAGTGTGACGTCACTCACGGGGTTTTCATTCATGATCATTTAAGCACAGGACATTGAGAACTAAACCTTCACATCAACCTACATATGTTTTATTTTGGACGACGAAAGAATCTCTTCATTACATGTACATGATACGTCTACAAGCAAACTAGAATTCTTCTTTCTGGCGATGAACTGTGGCTGTATTTTCTGCCCTCTCCATGACAGCACAACTGAAATTTTCGTTTTTAGTAAGAAAGAAAGAAGAAATGGAGTGGCGCGATGATTTTATTACCGTCTTCGCCATACTTGTGGTCCTGCGCAGATACCAATCCATGGTACGACAAAGAATATCGAATAATCGAAAAAAATGATAAATACAAAATTCTTTGGAATAGGCCCGTATACAGCCTTGGCCCTATCCAGGCCAACAAACCTCATCTTGTCCTTTTTTTGATAAATTCAATGAAATCATTTATATCATTGAACTTTCTGTACCTTTGGGCATGTATGTGATTGACAAGATTCAGGAAAAACATGGCAAATGTGCGGACCTCGCTTTCGAATTGTCACGCTTGCATCCCAAGTACCAAGTTGTCCGACTCCCCATTGTTCTCGATGCCTTAGGTTTGGTACCTCCCAATCTGTTGACCGACATTGGCTGGAGGCTGAAGGCTCGAGTCTACATATTCTCCGAAAAGTTATGGGTGGGTTCCATTAGACAGTACTTCCTGGGAGAAGGGCCATTCGCTGTCCGGGTTGTGTGTAATAATCATAATAATAATAATGTGTGTATTTATAATGCGCCAAATCCTCACGTTAGGCATTGCTAGGCTACCATCAAGGGAAGCCTACCAGAGATATTGAAAAACAGTGAAACAAAGTACTGACATCCACTGATACAAGGACGTATGTTCCTGAGATCCATCTCTTCACCCGAGTGTCGGGCTCCATTGCCGTGTGATATGTAGAACAACGTATGCAAAAGAGAACTCAGTACAAACAACTTCATTTTTACGCTAATCAACACGGGAATTAAATGTTAAGCAAAATATACGTATTATCCTGGCATTGTTATTCATATATATATATATATATATATATATATATATATATATACTAAGAACGTTGAGATTAGCTCAAACGTGGTCGAGTACATAAACAACTTAAACTCCATAAACTCCCACAACATTTACTTAGTCACATCGTACGCCCACAATTAATTATCCTCACAGTCTAAATTTATTAACTGTGAAGGATGTTCTTCAACTATTACAACACTTCAACCATCTGCACTTCGGTTGGCAGTGCGCATGACGTAACGCCACGACCTCTGACCCTGACCCTCGACATCAGTCAGTGCACAGACACCGCCAAAGGGGAAGGACAGACACCGCCACAGCAGAAGGACAGACACCGCCACAGCGGAAGGACAGACCACGAGGCCATGCTCTGTAGTCGTTACTGGGACAGTCTGTAGATGTAACTGTAGCCTGTAGATGTAACTGCCAACAACATCTGTGTACAGACATTACGAGGCAGCTGTGTACAGACACCACGAGGCAGCTGTGTACAGACTCTAAGAGGAAGCTGTGTACAGACATTACGAGGCAGCTGTGTACAGACATTACGAGGCAGCAGTGTACAGATACCACGAGGCAGCTGTGTACAGACACTACGAGGAAGCAGTGTACAGACACTACGAGGAAGCTGTGTACAGACACGAGGAGGCAGCTGTGTACAGACATTACGAGGCAGCTGTGCATAGACATTACGAGGCAGCTGTGTACAGACACCACGAGGCAGCTGTGTACAGACTCTACGAGGAAGCTGTGTACAGACATTACGAGGCAGCTGTGTACAGACATTACGAGGCAGCTGTGTACAGACACCACGAGGCAACATCATCGGTAATGAATCAAACATACTCGTAAACTCTCCACATTTCCCCTCAGCAGCGTCTGTGGAGAGTTTACGAGTATATTTGATTCATTACCGATGATGTTGTTGGCAGTGTGTACAGACTACACGAGGCTGCAGTGTGTACAGACACCACGAGGCAGCTGTGTACAGACACCACGAGGCTGCATTGTGTACAGACACCACGAGGCAGCTGTGTACAGACACCACGAGGAAGCTGTGTACACACACGAGGAGGCAGCTGTGTATAGACATTACGAGGCAGCTGTGTACAGACACCACGAGGCAGCTGTGTACAGACACCACGAGGCACCTGTGTACAGACATCACGAGGAAGCTGTGTACAGACACGAGGAGGCAGCTGTGTACAGACATTACGAGGCAGCTGTGTACAGACACCACGAGGAAGCTGTGTACAGACACGAGGAGGCAGCTGTGTACAGACATTACGAGGCAGCTGTGTATAGACATTACGAGGCAGCTGTGTACAGACATTACGAGGCAGCTGTGTACAGACACCACGAGGCAGCTGTGTACAGACACCACGAGGCTGCAGTGTGTACAGACACCACGAGGCAGCTGTGTACAGACACAACGAGGATGCTGTGTACAGACACGAGGAGGCAGCGGTGTACAGACATTACGAGGCAGCTGTGTACAGACACCACGAGGAAGCTGTGTACAGACACGAGGAGGCAGCTGTGTATAGACATAACGAGGCAGCTGTGTACAGACACCACGAGGCAGCTGTGTACAGACACCACGAGGCACCTGTGTACAGACATCACGAGGAAGCTGTGTACAGACACGAGGAGGCAGCTGTGTACAGACATTACGAGGCAGCTGTGTACAGACACCACGAGGAAGCTGTGTACAGACACGAGGAGGCAGCTGTGTACAGACATTACGAGGCAGCTGTGTATAGACATTACGAGGCAGCTGTGTACAGACATTACGAGGCAGCTGTGTACAGACACCAAGAGGCAGCTGTGTATAGACACCACGAGGCTGCATTGTGTACAGACACCACGAGGCAGCTGTGTACAGACACCACGGGGAAGCTGTGTACAGACACGAGGAGGCAGCTGTGTACTGACATTACGAGGCAGCTGTGTACAGACACCACGAGGCAGCTGTGTACAGACACGAGGAGGCAGCTGTTTACAGACATTACGAGGCAGCTGTGTATAGACATTACGAGGCAGCTGTGTACAGACATTACGAGGCAGCTGTGTACAGACACCACGAGGAAGCTGTGTACAGACACGAGTAGGCAGCTGTGTACAGACATTACGAGGCAGCTGTGTACAGACACCACGAGGAAGCTGTGTACAGACACCACGAGGCAGCTGTGTATAGACATTACGAGGAAGCTGTGTACAGACACCACGAGGCAGCTGTGTACAGACACCACGAGGCCGCTGTGTACAGACATCACGAGGAAGCTGTGTACAGACACGAGGAGGCAGCTGTGTACAGACATTACGAGGAAGCTGTGTACAGACACCACGAGGAAGCTGTGTACAGACACGAGGAGGCAGCTGTGTACAGACATTACGAGGCAGCTGTGTACAGACACCACGAGGCAGCTGTGTACAGACTCTACGAGGAAGCTGTGTACAGACATTACGAGGCAGCAGTGTACAGATACCACGAGGCAGCTGTGTACAGACACTACGAGGAAGCAGTGTACAGACACTACGAGGAAGCTGTGTACAGACACGAGGAGGCAGCTGTGTACAGACATTATGAGGCAGCTGTGTATAGACATTACGAGGCAGCTGTGTACAGACACCACGAGGCAGCTGTGTACAGACTCTACGAGGAAGCTGTGTACAGACATTACGAGGCAGCTGTGTACAGACATTACGGGGCAGCTGTGTACAGACACCACGAGGCAACATCATCGGTAATGAATCAAACATACTCGTAAACTCTCCACATTTCCCCTCTACAGCGTCTGTGGAGAGTTTACGAGTATATTTGATTCATTACCGATGATGTTGTTGGCAGTGTGTACAGACACCACGAGGAAGCTGTGTACAGACACGAGGAGGCAGCTGTGTACAGACATTACGAGGCAGCTGTGTACAGACATTACGAGGATGCTGTGTACAGACACGAGGAGGCAGCTGTGTACAGACATTACGAGGCAGCTGTGTATAGACATTACGAGGCAGCTGTGTACAGACACCACGAGGCAGCTGTGTACAGACACCACGAGGCAGCTGTGTATAGACACTACGAGGCAGCTGTGTACAGACATTACGAGGAAGCTGTGTACAGACACCACGAGGCAGCTGTGTATAGACACCACGAGGAAGCTGTGTACAGACACTACGAGGAAGCTGTGTACAGACATCACGAGGCAGCTGTGTACAGACACCACGAGGCAGCTGTGTATAGACACCACGAGGAAGCCGTGTACAGACACTACGAGGAAGCTGTGTACAGACACCACGAGGCAGCTGTGTACAGACACCACGAGGAAGCTGTGTACAGACACTACGAGGAAGCTGTGTACAGACACTACGAGGCAGCTGTGTACAGACATTACGAGGCAGCTGTGTACAGACACCACGAGGCAGCTGTGTACAGACACCACGAGGAAGCTGTGTACAGGCATTACGAAGAAGCTGTGTACAGACATTACGAGGCAGCAGTGTACAGACACTAGGAGGCAGCTGTGTACAGACACAACGAGGCAGCTGTGTACAGACACTACGAGGAAGCTGTGTACAGACACCACGAGGAAGCTGTGTACAGACACTACGAGGAAGCTGTGTACAGACATTACGAGGCAGCAGTGTACAGACACTAGGAGGCAGCTGTGTAAAGACACCACGAGGGAGCTGTGTACAGACACTACAATGAAGCAGTGTACAGACACCACGAGGAAGCTGTGTACAGACACTACGAGGAAGCTGTGTACAGACATTACGAGGCAGCAGTGTACAAACACCACGAGGCACCTGTGTACAGACACTACGAGGAATCTGTGTACAGACACCACGAGGAAGCTGTGTACAGACACTACGAGGAAGCTGTGTACAAACATAACGAGGCAGCTGTGTACAGACATTACGAGGCAGCAGTGTACAAACACCACGAGGCAGCTGTGTACAGACACTACGAGGAAGCTGTGTACAGACATTACGAGGCAGCAGTGTACAAACACCACGAGGCAGCTGTGTACAGACACTACGAGGAATCTGTGTACAGACACCACGAGGAAGCTGTGTACAGACACTACGAGGAAGCTGTGTACAAACATAACGAGACAGCTGTGTACAGACACCACGAGGCAGCTGTGTACAGACACCACGAGGCAGCTGTGTACAGACATCACGCGGCAGTTGTGTACAGACACCACGAGGAAGCTGTGTACAGACACCACGAGGCAGCTGTGTACAGTCACCACGAGGCAGCCGTGTACAGACATCACGAGGCAGCTGTGTACAGACAACACGAGGCAGCTGTGTACAGACACCACGAGGCAGCTGTGTACAGACATCACGCGGTAGTTGTGTACAGACACCACGAGGCAGCTGTGTACAGACACCACGAGGCAGGTGTGTACAGACATCACGATGCAGCTGTGTACAGACACTAGGAGGCAGCTGTGTATAGACACCACGAAGCAGCTGTGTACAGACACCACGAGGCAGGTGTGTACAGACACATCGAGGCATCTGTGTGTACAGACATCACGAGGCATCTGTGTGTACAGACACCACGAGGCAGGTGTGTACAGACATCACAAGGCACCTGTGTGTACAGACATCACGAGGCATCTGTGTACAGACATCACGAGGCATCTGTGTACAGACACCACGAGGCAGGTGTGTACAGACACCACGAGGCAGGTGTGTACAGACATCACGAGGCAGCTGTATGTACAGACACCACGAGGCAACAGTGTACAGAATCACGAGACAGCTGTGTGTACAGACATTACGAGGCAGCTGTGTAGAGACATCACGAGACCGCTGTGTGTACAGACACCACGAGGCAGCAGTGTACAGAATCACGAGACAGCTGTGTGTACAGACACCACGAGGCAGCTGTGTACAGACATCACGAGGCAGGTGTGTACAGACATCACGAGGCAGCTTTGTACAGACATCACGAGGCAGCTGTGTACAGACATCACGAGGCACCTGTGTGTACAGACATCACGAGGCAGCTGTGTACAGACATCACGAGGCAGCTGTGTACAGACATCACGAGGCAGATGTGTGTACAGACATCACGAGGTGTCTTCACGACGCACTCGGTACACCTTACACAGTTGGTCCACTCGCAGAATGCAATTTTATTATTAACACTATCTTAATACTAGGTTCATGAATAACAAAAAAATCTCAATATATCAAAATAATTTATTTTTTGAAATATAGAAAATATTGAACATCCCACATACACATTTTCAATAATTTATATTATCGGTCAAATACATCAAGTTGCAATAAATACAGTTTCCTGGTGGGACAAAAGTATAAAATATCACAGGCATTTTTTTCTCACATTAACAATATAACATCCACCAGGGGTGCACACGTACACACTAAAGGTATATTGACCGTAGTAAAAACACCAACGGTGAACAGACCGACAGACAGAATCTCCCTTCGGTGCCAGTATAAAACTTGTATGTATAAGAACACTTGTATTGGACACTAATATGATAATGACGTTTGGTAAGTCTTGTTACAATTATTCGACCTGTAAATTCTTCGCTTCTTAGTTTCTCAGAGATGACTGGACGCGAGGACGAATAGAAGTGTGAAACACGTCAGTAGCGTGAAGGTCGGTGGTCGCATGACTCCAGATCCACTCTTTTTACATGTGCAATCTAAAATGAAAAATAACTTCAGCTAGTGATTGGAAAATCAACGGTACATGTTTGTGATGTAATAGTATAAAACCCTCAAGCATGGCTGCAGCAACATCTCAAAGTCGATCACAGACGTAGTACAATGCTATGATGTTTGTACCTTGTGCGTCCAGTTTGAATACCCAAAAGGTCTTCATGTTAAAGCCTATCTATATCACTTAAGCGATTAATAAACGTTTATTCTATGCCCACCTGGTGGTGACGGTGTGGCCTTGACCTCAACACACAACCGACATGCTTTGCGGCAGTTATGGTGCATCCAATCTGGGTTTATCTCGCAGTGTCCCGTGCTGGCCCACACTCCACACTCAGAGTCGTCGTGAAGATTAGTGCAGGGAACTGAACAAAAACATGCTTACTCGTACATTTTTCATAACATAATTGTTATACACCATACGTTAAGATGAAATACCGTACAACCCATTAAACATAAGACCATACCAACTGTTTCCAAATCACAACCGAACCTAAAGAACAGCCCGAATGTTTTTAATGAAGTATGTAGCGCATCTTTTTGTTTAACTTCTTGTGCACTTTGGCGTGTATACGTAAAGATATATTGTTATACAACACATTTAATTAATGTACTATATGACATGCGTTAACAAATACATCGACCAGATATATCATTAGTAACAAGCAATTTTTACCTTGCGGGCCAACGGTAGGGTGGGTGATGTCGGGGGTGATGTCGGGGGTGATGTCGGGGGTGAAGGGCGTGGTGACGGAGTCGGGTACACAGACGTCGCAGGACACGGCACAGTTGTCAAGCATCCAGTTGGGGTTCTTCACACATTCGCCAGTGGCAGCCCACGACGAGCAGCGGAGGTCGGTGTCCACACACTTCACAGCTTAAATACCAACACACACACACACCTTATTCACAGAACCCCACTTCACGTCCATTCTTCATTGCAAAAAGGATGAGGAAGGTTTTGTCGACCTTTATCAAAATTAATGTTAGCCAATGTGTAGTTACATTATGGTCGACTGTTTCATTACTTGCAATCGTGATAGGTTCAAGCTAGCACCACGTCACATTGCTATAATAGGTAAAGGCGTGTTGCTTTACACTGCTCGGGTGTGAGGACAGAAGAGCTACTCACGTTTGGTCGTGACGACAGATCCACCACCGCTACAAATGCCACACGACTTCTTACAGTTGACTTGCATCCACGTGGGGTTCGCCTTGCACTCCCCGGCCCTAGCCCAGTCAGCACACGCCTGCTTGTCACTGTGGATGTCCACACAGTTTCCTGGCAATACATAAGTGTGGTTGTGGACTATCTCGTCAGTAGCAGGAACAGCAGCAATATTTCTCAAAGATATTCTCCATATTGTTGGAAATAGAGATCACGTTAGTTATACATTCATCTAGAATGGTGGGATTCTGTAGAGCCAGTTGCTCTCATGTCAGTCAATCATGATGTATCTGTAGGAGACAGTCTTCAATGGATATTTTGGACGTAGCATCGGGTCTTTTCCCATTATAAGAATTGATCTTCAGCAGCTCATACTTGTCGTAAGAGGCGCCTAACGGGATCGGGTGGTTAGGCTCGCTGACTTGGTTGATGCATGTTATCATATCCCAATAGGGTAGATCGATGCTCATGATGCCAATCACTAGAGTGTCTAGTCTAGACTCGATTATTTACAGATCGCCGTTACTTAGCTGAAATATTGCTGAGTGCGGCGTTACACAACAAACAAACAACAATCTCCCATTGTAAACACCCTGACATGTGGCAATTCATTTAATGGGTAATATCCTACCTTTAGTTTCGTCAACGACTGGAGGGGTTTGGTCACATGTCTGACATGACTTGCGGCAGTTGATGAGCATCCATGCAGGGTTGATCTTACACTCGCCGTCAGCCGCCCACTTGTCACACTTGGAGGAATCACTGAACTTATTCTCACACTGAGCTGCAGGGGAAACAAAATAGTGCCATCAGAATCAAACACGTCAGCGACAGGTTGCAGCTCCGCGTGTGATTTGACATATATGATTATGTACCCCAATACTGCCTCTGATATAAACTTTCTATGTACTACTACTACTGCTACTACTACTACTACGTTAAACGTTAAAACAGGTCTGGTTGTGCAAGACGCCGATATAATGGGCGAGTGGAGTTTAAATAATATAAGGATTTGAGATGGATTTGAAGGATTTTAGTAAAGGATGATGAAGAATTTACATTAAGAAGGCGTTTTCTTACTCTCTGATCTCTGGCTTTTGTCAACACAGGCGTTGCACGTCTTTCGGCAGTTCAGGGACATCCACCACTCGTTGGCAACACAGTCGCCATTCTTCTTCCACTTGGCACACTTCTTGGGATACAGATCTTCACAGCCCACTGTAATCAACATGTGTATGTGTGACGAAGTGTACTCACACTAAATACGTCTCTGATGAAGTGTACTTACAATAAATACGTCTTTGACGAAGAATACTCACACTAAATACGTCTCTGATGAAGTGTACTTACAATAAATACGTCTTTCATGAAGTGTACTTACAGTAGATACGTCTTTCATGAAGTGTACTCACAATAAATACGTCTCTGATGAAGTGTACCCACAATAGATACGTCTTTGATGAAGTGTACTTACAATAAATACGTCTCTGATTAAGTGTTTTTACAATAAAAACGTCTCTGATGAAGTGTACTTACAATAAATACGTTTCTGATAAAGTGTATTTACAATAAATACGTCTTTGATGAAGTGCACTCACAATAAATACGTATCTGATGAAGTGTATTCACAATAAATACGTCTCTGATGAAGTGTACTTACAATAAATACGTCTCTGATGAAGTGTATTTACAATAGATACGTCTTTGATGAAGTGTACTTACAATAAAGACGTCTCTGATGAAGTGTACTCACAATAAATACGTCTCTGATGAAGTGTACTTACAATAAAGACGTCTCTGATGAAGTGTACTCACAATAAATACGTCTCTGATGAAGTGTACTTACAATAAATACGTCTCTGATAAGTGTATTTACAATAAATACGTCTCTGATAAAGTGTATTTACAATAGATACGTCTTTGATGAAGTGTACTTACAATAAAGACGTCTCTGATGAAGTGTACTTACAATAAATACGTCTTTGATGAAGTGTACTTACAATAAAGACGTCTCTGATGAAGTGTACTCACAATAAATACGTCTCTGATGAAGTGTACTTACAATAAATACGTCTCTGATAAGTGTATTTACAATAAATACGTCTCTGATGAAGTGTACTCACAATAAATACGTCTCTGATAAAGTGTACTTACAATAAGTACTTCAGTAACGAAGTGTATTTACAATAAGTACGTGTGTGTCGAAGTGTATTTACAATAAGTACGTCAGTGACGAAGTGTGTTTACAATAAGTACGTCAGTGACGAAGTGTATTTACAATAAGTACGTCAATGACGAAGTGTATTTACAATAAGTACGACAGTGACGAAGTGTATTTACAATAAGTACGTCAGTAACGAAGTGAATTTACAATAAGTACGTCTGTGACGAAGTGTATTTACAATAAGTACGTCAGTCGAGAATGTAGATTTACGTCGAATTATTATCCTCAATACCCATGTTGGAATAGGTCTTCAGCAACCCATGCATGCCGTAAAAGGCGACTATGCCTGTCGTAATGCATGTAAGGGTTGATGCATGTCATCGTATACCTATTGCGTAAATCGATGCTCATGATGTCAGTCACAGGATTGACTGGTCCAGCCGTGTCGGTGTTTTTGTTGAGCAAGGTGCCTGTTATATATCTGAAACATTTTCCTTGATTGATTTCCGACTTAGAGTCAGTTAGGAGTATCACTCTGAACTTTTTGCATTACAGCAATCTATGAACTGCTTACCACTTGCAGTCGGCGCCACGGTGTAGGAGCACAACTGGCACGCCCTCATGCAGCCCGTACTCATGAACTTGTTGTTTCTGGTGCACTGGCCGGAGTTGGCCCACACGGCGCATTGCCAGTCGTCATAGGCGTTGCTGCAGTCACCTACAACATGCACTGTGTTGAATTCCCGTCTGAACGTGTTTCTACTCAAATGACAGTCGATGAAATTAGAATAATAGTGATTGATAACCTTGACTGGTGTGTTGACGTAACATAATCTCACACATTTGATAAATTCTGCTTCCCGAGAAATGGAATAAAACCGAATTTACTGCAATACATCAAAGTGATAATCTGACAAAAAACATGTTCTAACCAACACATGTTAAGATGCAAGATACACCTGCTAATTATTTAAAGTATCAGAATGACTCCAATCGCTTCAGTTTAATGATGTGTGGATGCCATGTGTTCTGAGTGGGTGAATGAGTGAGTGAGTGAGTGAGTTGGGTTTAACGTCGCTTTTAACAGGATTCCAGTTATATGATGCAGATGTCAGATTACCACTTCAGTGAGACCCACGAGCACAGGTAAGGTGCTGATAGACCTAGAAACATAATCGGGGCGAACCAGGATTCGAACCCACAAGCATAGGTTTCTGGCGGGCCCAAGGGACACAGCTATGCACAGCAAATCGCGGCGCCTTAGACGACTGGGCCACCCGCGGACATCTCCCATATGGTATAATCCTAGCCTTGTAACAGTTATACTACTCGACTGTGAAAACAAGCGGGAGTTGGGCCCCACCATCAGTCTCGGGTGCCTTGTAGCCCACTTCACAGTCACGTGTTCCGTCCGGGCACACACAGCGGCAGGTCTGGTCAACGAAGCCGCCATCTTCACACTTGACTGTGGCGGGACAATTTCCTGTAATGCACAGTGAGGTCATGTGAGCCAACGTTAAGAATTACTGCACACAGATTTGATTTATTAGGGCTAAATCAAACGAATCCCTATTCAGTGACACCTGTTATGATGGTTTTGTTCAGGCGATACTTTTTAACATCGAAGCAATTTCTTTGAGAAGACTTCATTGATGATCTTGCAGTTTAATCAGTAACCCCTGTGAGAGTTGCACCCCGCTGAATGATCCGACACGCCAATTAAGGATCCATTGATTAAGATCTGGTCGTGAAGTAAATGGTATGATGCTTTAACAGAAATTACACCGTTTTACCTGCACAGTTATACATGTTGTTGACGGCCAGCACATCATTGAAGGAGAGCTCCTTCAGATATACTTTCCCAATCTCCTCCTCTCGAGCTGGATCCTTGGGACGAAGCGTCTTCAGTTTACCATCTCTAGAGAACGCCTGAGGATTGAAAAAAACCATCATAATTGGAAATGGAATATAAGAAGAAGTGAGGCTTTATGAAAAATAGTACAGAGCGTGTTTATGTATGTTTACAATCGGAATATGGAAGGTTCATGGAAACCTTCATTAGGATTGACAATAAACAAGTAGTCCAGAAAGATGTTGCATAGATAAGCGGCACTGTCCAATTGGAATTTCTAGCAAGTTTAGGTCAACTCCGTAAATCCACTGTGATAGTCTACGAACTCAAAATGTATTGTATAGATCAATTTAGGAGAGACATAATCTCAGATTCATACCTGGTACTTATAACAATATCTAAATTTGTTTGTTTGTTGTTTAACGCCGCACTGAGCAATATTCCAGCTTTAGGACGGCGGTCTGTAAATAATCGAGTATGGACCAGATAATCCAGGGATTGACATCATGAGCATCGATCCACGCAATTGGAATACGATGACATGCATCAACCAAGTCAGTGAGACTGACCACCCGATCCCGTTAGTAGCCTCATACGACAAGCATAGTCGCCATTTACGGCAAGCATGGGTTGCTTAAGACCTCTTCTACCCCGGATCTCCTCGTGTAACAATGTCTAGGCATTGAATGGCAATGGGCACGACACTGATCGTAGTGTCCCGCTTGTTCCCGGGAGCCCCTGTCTGTGTGCTCACCGTGACACCGTAGTGCATGATGGAGGAGTACTCGTACTCGGTGTTGACAAGGTCAACCTTATCCCTGGGGTACTTCGTGAAGGAGAATTGGAGACTCGGGGCGACGTTCTGCAAGTAGATGTCCACGTAGCTATCCCTGTCTGGACGCTGGTGTTCGTGGATCAGGCCGATAGCGTGGCCGATCTCGTGCAGGTACAAGCCTCTCTGTCAACACAGAGGTCAAAGTGAAGTGAAGTGAAGTGAAGTGAAGTGAAGGTCAAGGTGAGGTGAGGTGAGGTGAGGTGAGGTGAGGTGAGGTGAGGTGAGGTGAGGTGAGGTGAGGTGAGGTGAGGTGAGGTGAGGTGAGGTGAGGTGAGGTGAGGTGAGGTGAGGTGTGTGTGTGTGTGTGTGTGTGTGTGTGTGTGTGTGTGTGTTTGTGTGTGTTTGTGTGTCTGTGTCTTTTAACTTCTTTGGTATGACGCGGCCGAGGATCGAACTCGTTTTCCCGGCAGACGCTCTATCCTCTAGGCCACGGATGCGGTTTACAGAGGTCAAGGTTAGGGGTAGCACGCAACACAGGAGTATAATATTAAGGTAATTGTTTAATGTGGAGGCAGCATCACCTTCACTTGAATGTATATGCAGGCACGTCGGCTGAGCTGCAATTTACTTGACCTCTTGGTAACTTACACCGACGGAAATGCAGGGGCACTTGTTTTGAGCGGAAAACACGGAAGTGCTCTTGTTCTGTCTTAGGAATTACGTCCGGGGGGGGGGGGGGGGGGATGGATGGGGTATGTATGTTCACGTTATATATGCTATTATATGTATCTTCACATAAAACAACAGATGTGCTGCGGCGTGTGACTGAAATTTGAGTGAGTGAGTGAGTATGGTTTTACGCCGCTTTTAGCAATATTCCAGCAATATCACGGCGGGGGACACCAGAAATGGGCTTCACACATTGTACCCATGTCGGGAATCGAAACCGGGTCTTCGGCGTGACGAGCGAACGCTTTAACCACTAGGCTACCCGACCGCCCCTTGAATTTGAGGACTGAACGACAGAAAAAAACTACCACTGTATTTGGTAACAAGAATTAACCAGGACGAATGCGATCTTAAAGATTATTACATACATATTACAACGTATTACATACATAGGAAGCAACACACAATTTCTACTTACGAATCTACACCCGGGTGCATTCAACATGAGCGCCTGCCTGCCCCCGACCATACCCAACTGGGAGCTGCACCTGTAGCACACAATCACGTGAGTCACACTTGCTGTGTAGCGGTTAATTACGGAAGTAAATTAACAATAATGTCTTTAGTTTATTCGTACCAAGACCGACTGTACATATCAGGTACCAGTCCAGCTTAGATACATAATACGGTTTTGTAAGAATCCACCTGATTTACGTATGAACTTGTAGTTTCATCCGACGTCATTAACTGATGAATCCTACTCACGAGTCTCCGTTAATGAAGTCCACGACGTTGGTATGAGAGGGCGTAGCTGCCTTGAAGTTGAGACACGTGTATCTCTCCCACTCCGTCATGGCCTCCTTGATCAACACCGTGTCTTTAGCATCTGGAAAACAAAACACATTTCAAAATCATTTGTCATATACTCAGCGTATTTATACAACGACTGAGTGCTGCATTTCATTTTTAACAGGAAATATTGAACATGATCAGGTGTTCAGGCAACTGCAGTTGAGTTGTAAGGGGCCTACCATTTAATATTCTGGGTGGGGGTAGGGGGTTTGGGGGTTAGGGGGGCTTTCCCTAAATATTCTAGAAAAAATATAATTATGCTTCAGAGACTTGAAAGGAAAAGGAAATTGTCTGCAAAGTTTTTTTACATTATTGCAAGGTGTTATTTTTACAACAAAAATATTCAGGCTCATGGTATTAATTTTAAACATATCTGGTTTTGCAGTTACATCTACAGACAAAATCCAAAATTTACGCTCCAGGTATAGCATTAAAGTCTAGATATGTACTAATGACATTAAAAGTATAAACTTACCGAAGGTGTTTTCCGCGAACGTGTACGGGATCTCTCCGTGGAACCATCTTAACATGGGGTCTTTGACCGCCTTCCGCTTGGAGCGTCCTCGCGAGCCAGCTGTCACAACACTGCAGTGGAGAACAGTTGATACATCACTAAACAACCACGTCACATCATATTTACAAGAACATTATGCAGAGAAATTGAAAGTTTCCTGATACTGAATTTTTACTTGGCGTGATCCTAATATGAGATACACTGTCTGTAGATAGATCACTGATCGTACGTTCCAGGAGCTTACAGAAGATATCACTACAGCCCAGTTGTCAAGCCTCGTATCCTCTACAATAGAGGTTATACCACCTAGTAATGTCACAGCTAAAGCTGTACAACATAGCAGTTGGTGCCTTATCATGTCATCGCACGCGTCATCACACATTAAGCACTGTCAACATCTATTAAACGCAACAGGTTTTATAGATAAATTTTCTGTTTGTACACAGGTGGGACAATGGTGTATGAATGAATATGTTACCCGTTGGAGTGACATGTATAGAAAGGAAGAGGGGCGAAATAGGCTTAATAAATTGAGAATGTACCGATGTTACAAACAAGTATTTGGGACAGAATACTATGTTCCAAATAAGATGGCCAGAAGCTATAGATCGGCACCAGCCAAGTTTAGATGTGGCGTGGCTCCTATTCGAGTGGAAACCGGTCGGTACGAAGGTGTAACTGTCCACAATAGAAAATGTTTTCACAGTAAAGACAGCGTAGAAGACGAGGTCCATTTTTTGTTTCACTGCGTATTATATGACGATATCAGGGCAACTCATTTTAATGAATGTACAGTAAACTACGGTTATAACGAACACGCTTACAACGAACTGACGGATATAACGAACTTACTTTTTTGGTCCCGACTATTTGTTGTAGTTATGCTGTATAACCAGGATTATGCTTATAACGAACTACGGTTATAACGAACTAAAACTAGTAGTCCCTTTGAGTTCGTTATGACCGTAGTTTACTGTATTGCTAAATATTATAATGTTTTAGATATACCTGATATCGACAAACTTTGTTTAACTTTCAGTGACTCCAGTGTGTTTTATACTTGCCAAAGTCTGCTTTTTAATACTTAATCGCAGAAAACATTTTTACATGGATAACGTTTTACTATATCATCTTTATATCATTTTTGTATAAATTTTATGATAATTTGTCTCTCATAATTCTATTGAATGGTTCTGTACATTCTATCTATGTCAAGTTATACAAAGCTGATTTATGTATGTACAGAAGTGAGACGTTAATAAACTATTGTCTGTCTGTCTGTCTGTGTTATTGGTAGTTTTCCTAGCTTCGCAAGTGCATACCTAGGTCTAGTTGACACATTGTACAAAATACAGATATTCCACAGTCAAAGTGTTACAAGTTTACTGTGAATTTTAGTAAATCCCGAAGACACGTGTGCCAATGAGCAGTTTCGTGTTCTGTTATCTTAGTCTGCACGGTTTTGTTCAACACATTCTAGGATGGAAAATGGTAGTTCAGCCCCGAGTGGTTTATTCTCCCAGCAGTGTTCATGTACGATAAACAACGACCACGAGGCGTTTATTTCTCTTCAGACTCTTCAGGTATAATGAAACCTTTAACGTAGTGATAGGAAAATTATGTCGCTTATGTCTGCGTGAAAGGTTTCACGTTAAAGGCTTCATTACACCTAAAGAGCCGTTGAGCGGCGAAAGATCTTTTGTGCATAAAGTTTTGACAAGTGGAATCGTGTACTCGGGGAATACGTAGTGAAAGTGTACGTACCTGTCTGTGCCGTAGAATGCAGCATACTGCTCTGGGGTGAGTCGAAGGTCTAATTCTGCGAGAATCAGGCCGCCAGAGTCCATCATTTTGTTTCCAACCTCTGAAATAGACACACCGCTGTTCAGTGAAGGTAGCCACATCCTTACGAGCATCCTCTGTAAGTATCAGCTTATCTACATCCAGGTTTGAGTTTACTAGAAACGATGATTACATATTCTACCACTATGTAGTGACAGGAACTACAAGTTCTATTTTTAGCCGAACTTTCTAAATCGTAGGATATTATTTTATTTCTAAGAATGAATCACGATCCCTTATAGTTCATTAAATTATCAGACATGAACAGATCATATATGCTACTGCAGTGAGGGGGTCGGTATACTTGAAATCCACCCCGTGAAGATCCGGGGAGAGAATAAGGCTTCAGCGACCCATGCTTGCCGTAAAAGGCGACCATGCTTGTCCTAACGGGATCGGGTGGTCAGGCTCGCTGTCTTGGTTACTGCATGTCATCATATCCCAACTGCATGGATCGATGCTCATGATATTAATCACTGGATTGTCTGGTCCATACTCGATTATTTACAGACCGCCGTTACTAAGCTGGAATACTGCTGAGTGCGTCGTTAAACAACGAACAAACAAACCTGAAATCCCCCCGAGTTGCTGGGTCATTATCTGGTCCATCGTCAAGTTGGTCTCGGGGTCAAGTGATCTAAACCCGCTTCCATGAAGGGGAAACTTCCTCTTCGGTAGCCCTCCAGTCCCGGGGTTAGGACGCGCAAGGGTCAGCACCACACACCATGTCTGAACAGACATTGACATTAAAGCCATAAAACATCAGTATATTTAACTAACGAACATACAGGGTCAGTTGGATGATATCACAAAGTACAGTTAATGAGTGAGTTGGGTTTAACGCCGCTTTGGGCAGTATTCCAGTTATATCACGACGTGTCAGCTTAATGTGGGAGGAATACCCGAAGTGATGCAGTTCTCAGACGTTTACCACTTCGGTGAAACCCACGAGCACGGGTATATGGTGTAAGTTGCCATACACAGACATACATGATGTTATGTGAGTAAGGTTTTAAGCAATATTTCAGCCACATCCTTTTTGGGTTTCATATATATTGTACCAGTAGCCAACGCTTTTAACACATGGCTAGCCATACAGACAGACAGATAGAAAGATAGGTTGATTGTCATCTTGCAGTTCACAATTTATGCCGATAATGCTAACGAATGGAACAACGCCAAAATCTCGCCAACATATCGCTGGCCAGTCAAATGTCAATTCAAAATAACCAAATCAGTTCGTCTGACATGTTTAATACCATCCCACACCATGACACCACCGCCCCCATAACGATCTTAGCCAAGAATTTTGCCCTGGCATACATCTCGCCGCTACGTTGCCGAGAAAGTTTTCTGCCATCTCTGAATCGCAAGCAAAACCTTGATTCGTCCGTAAACATGGTGAAACGCCATTGGCGCAAAGCCCGTGCTGCTCCTGGTTAGCCCACTCCAATATTTGAGGCCTATGGTAAGCTGTTAGGGTCACAACTTTCACAGGGTGCAATTTTCTTCCTGTTATTGTACGGAATTCTCTATTGATAACAGGAGCAGATTTGCATCTATTGCGTAGTGCAATTAATGTAATGAAACGGTGTCGTTTATTAGGCCTGCCATTCCCGGGTCTCATTGTGAACCCAGCCGTTTCACGGTACTTGTCCCACAGTCGAAAAACAACACTTTTAAGATTTGTCAATCATTCGGTCCACTTAGGATATTGACGTCTCCACTCTATCGTGCCCACAATTCAACTTTTGTCTGTTCATTGAGATACAGTCTCGGAAGCATCTTTAAGCGTGTTCGTAGCTCAACTGCATTACTGGTTGTGAGTTCCCCTACAGACGCACACACGTTGGCTTCTATGTGCACGCGCATCACGTGCTATTCACTCACGATGTGAAATTTCATAGTGATTAGATGTTGCGTTCAGATGCGACGCCACGGTATTGCAAATGTACACCTCAACGATACCTACATTCAAATCATAAGTTCCCTTATTTTATTTGTCGATGGTATATATAGTACATACATGAATATATATAGACATATATACTGACACATTGTAGTATTTGTACATATATTGTAACTTACAAATAAAGTATAGATAGATAAAGGCAGAATATATAAGTGGAGACTTACCAATATACCAATAGCTTTGATCATGGTTGAATCCCTCTTGGATGTAAGATAGTCAACAAATACCAACACGTAATGTAAATTACACAATAAATAAGTAGTTACGGCTAGATTCGTCAGTTGTCGGTGGCCAGTATTTCATTGACATGACAAGTTCGCGTCAGGTTTTATATCACACGAGCACGGAAATGGGAGCAACGGTGACTTGGTGACTGTTAGTCAGAACTCCGGAAGCTATGGCCAGAACAAGTCCGGAATATACATCGCCGTGTAATGAACGCCGTGCGTGTCACTGAAGTTGATTGTATCAATGAATGAAGTGAACTCGTGAGCCACGGTACATAGCTGAAAGGTCAACATAATGCGATTTGTATACATTTATTTTCAGATGGCCACTGTCAGAAACAATCGCCGACAATGCCTGCATGTTATAATTATAATCATCGATTTAATGGTACTTAGTTCGTGATTCACAGATATATTTAAAGACTCACTGAGTATTCTGATACCCAATGTATGCACCACTTTTGCTATGAACATTTAAGGTGGTGTAATCAACTGAATTGGGTTCAACTGTGCGATATAAATTGATGCATTACAGAATACTGGACACCACAAAACAAATCATTGCCAGAGAAACTCTCTGAGTTAAATATTGGACAAAAACAGAATGACCCTTTTTAATTGTGTCGTTAACTGACGAAAAGTAGACATGAGTCATATGGGCCGATGTGTAGTGAAGAAACGGCCTCCTCTTTCCTCGCCACCCTTCACTTTCCTTTTCCCGCTTGCTTATCTCTGCTTTGCTCGCAGCGGCTGTCAATGTTCCAATTTCCTCTCCTCTAGACCAGTTCGATGTTCTTCACTCTCTTCTCGCATCTCGCCACTTGCATCTCTGCTGTCATCACTGCTGACTTCTCACTGCTGTCATCTCTTCCCCTTTTCTAACTGTGCTCGCTGCTCCCTGCCCGCCTCTCGCCGCTTTCTTCGCACTCGCTGCTCCCTGCCCGCCTCTCGCCGCTTTCTTCGCACTCGCTGCTCCATGCCCGCCTCTCGCCGCTTTCTCGCACTCGCTGCTCCATGCCCGCCTCTCGCCGCTTTCCTCGCTGTGCCCGCTGCTCCCTGCCCGCCTCTCGTCGCTTTCTTCGCACTCGCTGCTCCCTGCCCGCCTCTCGCCGCTTTCTTCGCACTCGCTGCTCCATGCCCGCCTCTCGCCGCTTTCTCGCACTCGCTGCTCCATGCCCGCCTCTCGCCGCTTTCTTCGTACTCGCTGCTCCATGCCCGCCTCTCGCCGCTTTCTTCGCACTCGCTGCTCCATGCCCGCCTCTCGCCACTTTCTTCGCACTCGCTGCTCCATGCCCGCCTCTCGCCGCTTTCTCGCACTCGCTGCTCCATGCCCGCCTCTCGCCGCTTTCTTCGCACTCGCTGCTCCCTGCCCGCCTCTCGCCGCTTCCTCGCACTCGCTGCTCCATGCCCGCCTCTCGCCGCTTTCTTCGCACTCGCTGCTCCCTGTCCGCTTCTCGCCGCTTTCCTCGCTGTGCCCGCTGCTCCCTGCCCGCCTGTCGTCACTTTCTTCGCACTCCCTGCTCCCTGCCCGCCCCTCCTCGCTTTCTTCGCACTCGCTGCTCCCTGCCCGCCTCTCGTCACTTTCTTCGCACTCGCTGCTCCCTGCCCGAGGCTCGCCGCTTTCTTCGCACTCGCTGCTCCCTGCCCGCCTCTCGTCGCTTTCTTCGCACTCCCTGCTCCCTGCCCGCCTCTCGCCGCTTTCTTCGCACTCGCTGCTCCCTGCCCGCCTCTCGCCGCTTTCTTCGCACTCGCTGCTCCCTGCCCGCCTCTCGCCGCTTTCTACGCACTCGCTGCTCCCTGCCCGCCTCTCGTCACTTTCTTCGCACTCGCTGCTCCCTGCCCGAGGCTCGCCGCTTTCTTCGCACTCGCTGTTCCCTGCCCGCCTCTCGCCGCTTTCTTCGCACTCGCTGCTCCCTGCCCGAGGCTCGCCGCTTTCTTCGCACTCGCTGTTCTCTGCCCGCCTCTCGCCGCTTTCTTCGCACTCGCTGTTCCCTGCCCGCCTATCGCCGCTTCGCACTCGCTGATCCCTGCCCGAGGCTCGCTGCTTTCTTCGCACTCGCTGTTCCCTGCCCACCTCTCGCCTCTTCGCACTCGCTGTTCCCTGCCCACCTCTCGCCTCTTCGCACTCGCTGTTCCCTGCCCGAGGCTCGCCGCTTTCTTCGCACTCGCTGTTCTCTGCCCGCCTCTCGCCGCTTTCTTCGCACTCGCTGTTCCCTGCCCACCTCTCGCCTCTTCGCACTCGCTGCTCCCTGCCCGCCTCTCGCCGCTTTCTTCGCAATCGCTGCTCACTTCCCGCTTCTCGCGGCATTCTTCGCACTCACTGCTCTCCGATCTCTTCTTGTCGCTTGTACTTCTCTCCTTAAAGAACCTTTCTCTAAGATGGTATAGCTTCGTCATTTTTATCAATAAATACACTATTAGGCTCGAACTCTGCTCTGGAAGTTTTGTTCATTGATAAACTGAAAATAGATATATCTCAAGACATGCTTATCTTTCTCTGGTTTTGAATAACTGCTCTGAAGTCATACGGAAGTGATCGTTTGTTTGCTGTTTCTTGATGCATTTGTCCACAATAAAAATGTCATTCTGCTTGGCTTTATTTTTGTCACCTATTCCTTTGATACACGGAATAAAAAATATGAAACCTTTATTAAATAATACACCTGCCTTTAACACAGGGCAAATAACCTCAAGCAGTGTAATATGAACGAGATGGACACATGTTATATAACTCAACGTTGATATTTTGTTGCACATTTTTACTGGAAGATATGAACCATGTGTGTGACAACGTTCATGTAAGAAACATGTTTAATATTTACACATGTTGCAAAACAAGTCTTACCACAAGTTACATGTTTAATGAAACGTTTACACAGCAGATTGAAGTTGCATACTTCCACTCCATCTACACTGTAAAACTTTAACACGCTTCTTGTCCCATAGTTTTGACATGTTTTTTCTTGTCCCATAATTTTGACATGTTTAGGTCTAAATGCCTATACACCCTTGAAATTCATTGTAGGTAATTTGAATAAGAGGTCCATATACCCTCGTTTGGAGTCCACAATCCTCTCTGAGGGCCGGTTTATGTAAAGTAGATATAGACGGCGTATTTCGGCGACACCTGCCTTTCTCGTATCATGCCTTCGTGGAACATCCTATGTCACCACTAATACAATACAGATCTCAGTCTGCTCGGATTGTGTGTCTAGGTTTTTACCAAACTTTCAAATGTTCAACACTTGTACCTCTTCGAGCTTTGCTGCCTCATCAACCTGACACGCCATGACATGTCTGAAAGAATATTCAAACGGACGTTCAATCACTCTCTCCCACACTGTAACAATGTGTTTAGGACACAAACCTTAACACGTTCCATGTCCCATAATGTTTACGCGTTTAGGTGTGACCATATTTAGGAGCAAACGTGTTTTTGGTCTAAATGTGGAGAAAAAAACGTGACCACCAATCCCGACCCTACTCCACCCCTGACATTCTTTGTAGGTAATTTAAAAAAGGGTCTGCTTCTTTAAAAAATAATTTTCGCGTTTAGTGGGGATATAGAAGTACCAGGGGTCGTTCAAAAGGGTTAAGGACTATCTTATTAATCATACCTACTTTTCGTATTTATTATTAAATCCCCAATCATCATAATACGGCAACCGGAAAGTGCATGTTGTACCAAGATGCTGGCGTCGGTTGATATAGTCAGTCGCTCATCGTGACAGTGAATATGAGTATCATATTTGTCTGTGAAACAACTGAACCAGTTCTTGGTGGGAAATGACTACAAGACTGAGCGGGTTGCCCAAATACACGTCAACATGCAGGATTCGCCAGATCTGGTCCTTCGTTGATGAACTGAAGGGAATCGTGTGTTTGTTTTACCGTCAACATCATGTAACATGATGTTTCATCCATATATAGTAATGTTGAATGGAGCAAGTCTTCAGACTGTCGCATCATATCCTTGTCGTGTGTGTACAGCTACCACGGTTGGTGAATCACGAGGATCTGTCTCATCAGATCTACTAACATGGAAACTCTTCCTAAACTTGACATCCTCCTACGTCACATACTAAAATAATCAATGTCTCATCACCCTTCTCAATGGGATACTATGCGAACATGGTAGCCCATAACATGGTGAATGTAAACAGGGTTTTTTCCAAGACCTCAGTGACGATTATTTCTGCGCTGAGTGACCATAACCAGACACGATTTATATGTGGTCGTGGTAGGGATTAGGTTTTTGTTTGTTGTTTAACCTCGCACTCAGCAATATTCCGGCTACACTGTAAAAATGTGTTTAAATCTAAACACAAACTCTTGTCCAATGATTTGGACATGTTTTCCTTGTCCCACAAGTTTGATATATTTAGGTCTAAATGCGTAAACCCCCTTGAAATCCATTGTAGGTAATTTGAAGAAGGGGCTCGTGGACCCGCGTTTGGAGTCCCCAATGTTATCTAAGAGCTGGTTTATGTAAAGTAGATATATGACGTGCTGACAGCACACCCTCGGCGTATTCCTTGTTGTAAACCAGCGAGAGTGTATACCCCTACTTAATCGAGCCCTCCATGTCCTGATTCAGATTGTCAATAACAGTACACAGATTTCCCCTCACGCCGCCATTATACAGCTTCTTCTTCGACCATCATGTGAGACATTATCAAAGGCACTATCAGATATTATCCACTTCAGTATAGTGGTACACACTTTCTTGTAGACTACCCAAAAGCCTTCTTTGTATGCCAGATGCACGTAGTCTGTACGTATTTTCATCTATCGGGGTGATGCACGTAGTATGTACGTAGTTTTATCTATCGGGGTGATGCACGTAGTCTGTACGTAGTTTTATCTATCTGGTGTGATGCACGTAGTGTGTACGTAGTTTCATCTATCTGGTGTGATGCACGTAGTATGTGCGAAGTTTCATCTATCTGGTGTGATGCACGTAGTCTGTACATAGTTTCATATATCTGGTGTGATGCACGTAGTCTGTACGTAGTTTCATCTATCTGGTGTGATGCACGTAGTTTGTGCGTAGTTTCATCTATCTGGTGTGATGCACGTAGTCTGTACGTAGTTTCATCTATCTGGTGAGATGCACGTAGTATGTACGTAGTTTCATCTATCTGGTGTGATGCACGTAGTCTGTGTGTAGTTTCATCTATCTGGTGTGATGCACGTAGTATGTGCGTAGTTTCATCTATCTGGTGTGATGCACGTAGTCTGTATGTAGAATCATCTATCTGGTGTGATGCACGTAGACTGTGCGCACTTTCATCTTTCTGTCGTGATGCACGTAGTATGTACGTAGTTTCATCTATCTGGTGTGATGCACGTAGTCTGTACGTAGTTTCATCTATCTGGTGAGATGCACGTAGTCTGTACGTAGTTTCATCTATCGGTGTGATGCACGTAGTCTGTGCGTAGTTTCATCTATCGGGGTGATGCACGTAGTATGTACGTAGTTTCATCTATCTGTCTAGATCCACGTAGTCTGTGCGTAGTTTCATCTATCTGGTGTGATGCACGTAGTCTGTACGTAGTTTCATCTATCGGGGTGATGCACGTAGTATGTACGTAGTTTTATCTATCGGGGTGATGCACGTAGTATGTACGTAGTTTTATCTATCTGGTGTGATGCACGTAGTCTGTGCGTAGTTTCATCTATTGGGGTGATGCACGTAGTCTGTGTGTAGTTTCATCTATCTGGTGTGATGCACGTAGTATGTACCTAGTGTCATCTATCTGGTGTGATGCACGTAGTATGTACGTAGTTTCATCTATCTGGTGTGATCCACGTAGTTTGTACGTAGTTTTATCTATCTGGTGTGATGCACGTAGTCTGTACGTAGTTTCATCTATCTGGTGTGATGCACGTAGTTTGTACTTAGTTTCATATATCTGGTGTGATGCACGTAGTCTGTACGTAGTTTCATCTATCTGGTGTGATGCACGTAGTTTGTACTTAGTTTCATATATCTGGTGTGATGCACCTAGTCTGTACGTAGTTTCATCTATCTGGTGTGATGCACGTAGTATGTACGTAGTTTCATCTATCTGGTGTGATGCACGTAGTCTGTACGTAGTTTCATCTATCTGGTGTGATGCACGTAGTTTGTACGTAGTTTCATCTATCTGGTGTGATCCACGTAGTTTGTACGTAGTTTTATCTATCTGGTGTGAAGCACGTAGTATGTACGTAGTTTCATCTATCTGGTGTGATGCACGTAGTATGTACGTAGTTTTATCTATCTGGTGTGATGCACGTAGTTTGTACGTAGTTTCATCTATCTGGTGTGATCCACGTAGTTTGTACGTAGTTTCATCTATCGGGGTGATGCACGTAGTATGTACGTAGTTTTATCTATCGGGGTGATGCACGTAGTATGTACGTAGTTTTATCTATCTGGTGTGATGCACGTAGTCTGTGCGTAGTTTCATCTATTGGGGTGATGCACGTAGTCTGTGTGTAGTTTCATCTATCTGGTGTGATGCACGTAGTATGTACCTAGTGTCATCTATCTGGTGTGATGCACGTAGTTTGTACTTAGTTTCATATATCTGGTGTGATGCACGTAGTCTGTACGTAGTTTCATCTATCTGGTGTGATGCACGTAGTATGTACGTAGTTTCATCTATCTGGTGTGATGCACGTAGTCTGTACGTAGTTTCATCTATCTGGTGTGATGCACGTAGTTTGTACGTAGTTTCATCTATCTGGTGTGATCCACGTAGTTTGTACGTAGTTTTATCTATCTGGTGTGAAGCACGTAGTATGTACGTAGTTTCATCTATCTGGTGTGATGCACGTAGTATGTACGTAGTTTCATCTATCTGGTGTGATGCACGTAGTTTGTACGTAGTTTCATCTATCTGGTGTGATCCACGTAGTTTGTACGTAGTTTTATCTATCTGGTGTGATGCACGTAGTATGTACGTAGTTTCATCTATCTGGTGTGATGCACGTAGTATGTACGTAGTTTCATCTACCTGTAGTGAACAAGTGGGGTCATCTGAATCCAAACCCGCAACATTACCGTTGTTGTCTCAAGTGTTTTGTGTCTGCGCAATTTCCAATCTGAATCTCAGATTTTGTGCAGCAAGGGCGGGTAAGTCCACACGTAATGCAGTTGCATGCCAAGTGAACTGTTCAATTAGCATACTATCTACAGCTTAAGATATTTGGCTAAAACACGAAAAGAGAAACAAATAAGTTTGATTTGAACGTAGATGGTTTCATACCTATCCTGAGGTACCATGGCGTGAGTGGCGTTATAGCCAAGTCTGGCACCC